AAGAGTTACTTTTATAATATAAAAATAGACTTTTTAAGATATATTATTATACCTAGAGAAATTTAAATAAAAAAAAAGAAAATCTTAATAATAATAAAATATAAAGTACTTATTAATATTAAAGAAATATAAGCCTTCTTAAGCTTTATTAACTATTACTAAAGGTTAATTAAAGGATTTAGTAAAATTATAATTTTATTAATAAAACTAACTAAAAAGGGAATACCCTTTAACTAAAATAATAAGGCTTAAGGAGTATTTAAATAACTTAAAAGAGCAATTCTTAGCAAACTAGTCTTAATAATATTTAATTTTAAAAAAGAAATTAAGCTATAAATAGATATATTAGACTTTATATTAAGGGGATAAATTAGTTAAAGAGATAAGAAAGGAAAGCTATATCCTATTACTTTTTATTTATATAAACTATATAAAGTAAAGCTTAATTACTTAATTTATAATAAAGAATTTTTAGTAATAGTTAATTACTTTAGAAAGTTTAAATACTATTTAATAGAAAGTAAGTATAAAGTTAAGGTTTATATTAACTACTAAAACATTTTATACTTTACTATAACTTATAAACTTAATAAATAATAACTATATTATATAGAATTCTTATATAAATTTAACTTTATAATTATTTACTAAAAGGGATTAAAAAATAATAAAGTAAATATAATTAGTTAATAACTAGACTATAATACCTGCATTATTAAGATAAAAAAATAAATATTAAAAAAGAATAATAAGGGAGAATATTAATTTACTTAGAAAATAATAATATTAAGATAAATATAAGCAGAAGTAATTAAAGAAATCTTAGGAAAATTATAAGAATTTATTTAAGAATTCTATATATACCTATTATATAGATATTAAGGAGTTACTAAAACCTTAAAATAATTACTATAATAAGGCTATAAGATAATATAAAAAGTAGTAAAAAAGTTATTAAATAATATAATATTTATATTAAAATAAAAGGTATAATAATATAAACCTTATAAAATACTATAATTAATAAAAGTTATAAAGTAATTATAAAGCTTAATTATTATAAACATTATAACTAAATTACTATTATTAGAAAATCCTTTAATTAAAATTTTCTATAATAGTATTATAATTATTATAAATAAACTGATAAAATTCTTAATTTACTTACCTTATAAAAAGGCAATAGATATAGAAGTTATAGCCTATATCTTCTATAATAAGGTAGTAAGAGAATAAGGATTATTAAGGGAAATCCTATTAAATAGAAGACTAATATTTGCCTCTAAATTCTAGTAATTACTTATAATACTTATAAGAGTTAATTACTAACTTATAATAGCCTTTAGACTGCAGGCAGATAGCTAGATAAAATAAATAAATTAAGTATTAAAATAGTACTTTTAGTATTATATTAATTATAAATAAAATAACTAGGTTAAAAAGCTATTAAGCGCTTAGCTAGCTTATAATACTGCCTATAATAAAAGTATAAAACTTATATTATTTAATATAAATATTAAATTTATACCTAATATATATTATAATACTTAAAAACTTAAGAATATAAACTTAATAGTAATTATTATAAGTAATAAGTTAAGAGAAATATATAATAAACTTAAGATTAAGCTAGAATTTATTAGGAAAAGGATATAGAAATACTATAACCTTAAAAAGTTAAAGGGATTAACCTTTATAAAAGGAGATATAATTTACTTATTTACTAAAAATATTAAAATAAATTAATTAAGTTATAAATTAGATTATAAATACTTAAAACTAATTAAGATTAAATAAAAAATAAAGGAAAATTAATATAAACTAGATTTACCTTTAAATATTAAATATTACTTAATTTATTATATCTTAATACTTAAATTAATTATAAATATAATTTATATAAAAACTAATAATAAACTATAATAAATTATAAGACTAGAGGTATATAAAGTAAAGGAAATTAAAGATATATAAAGAATTAATAAATAAAAAATATATCTAATTAAATAAAAAAACTATTTAAAAAGTAAAAATATATAAAAACTAATAAAATACCTTACTAATACCTAGTAACTCTTAAAGAACTTTTACTAATAACCTTAAAGAGTAAAGGATTAAAAATTAGGTTATAGTTAATAATATTAGCATTACTAAAAGACTAAATATCTAGAACTGCTATATCCTCCTCTTAAGTAATAATATTACCTATAGAAGAATTTATATTATTAATAATAAACTAAATACCTTACTTATATAATAAATGCTTTTAATAATAAATATAAAATAATCTTATAATAGCCTTATTAACCTCTTATTAGGCTTTAAGAAGCTTTTCCTTAGCTTCCTCTTCTGCCTATTTTAAACAATTAGATTTATAATTTAAATAAGGAACTAAAAAGAAAAAACAATTAGCAAAAGGCAATAATAATAAGGGAAGCAATATATAATAAGCAATTGCAATACTAAAAGTATTATAAGATTAACCTTATTAAGTATATTTAAAATAATAAGAAGAATGCTTAATTATTTTATAATAAAGGCCCTTAGCCTTATAGAAGGAATAAGGCATAATATTAAAACTAAATTTTATAATTAAATTTACTAAATAAATATACTTTAAAGTCTTATAAGATTTTAACTAAAGATTTTATAATATAATAATTAATAAGGCATATTAGGAAAATAATAAAAGAAGAGAGTTAGTACTTACTAAAGCCTAATATAAAAATAAAGAAATATATAGGTCTTAAGGGCAAGACTTAATAAAAAGGAGAGATTATATTATAACCTATATAGCTATATTATATAGCCTTTATAATTTCTACTTATTATAAAAGGATTACTTCTTTTAATAATAATCCTCTTTTATTAAATTACTTAAATTATAATGCCTTAAGACTAAATTACTATAAATTACTAATAATCCTTAGAGATTTAACCTTTAAATTAATATTATTTCTTATTAAGCTATTAGGCTACCTTTAGTATATAAAATATATTTATTAACACTTTTATAAAACTTAACTTACTAGCTATTAATAAAGTATCTTTATATTAATAAGCCTAGTATATATTACTTAATTATTAAGAGATATACTACTTTATAATGCTTAGTATTATACCTTATGCAGTCTGTAAATATAAACCTAGTATAAACTAGTTTACCTATTTAGAAAACCTAATTATTATATTTAGGCTATTTAAGGAGCAGAGGAGTAAGTAGCTTAATTTAATTATCTCTTTAGGCTATATGTATTATTACACCCTATAATCTACTTCTCTTCTAAGAAGTTATTAGTAACAGTCCCTGTTAAACTGCTAAAGCCAAATTAGTAGGGCATTTTGTAAAAAGGAGCTGCTATTTCTAAAATAAATAGGCAACCTAATAAATTACCTCTCTGTTAGAAAAGACTATAAATATATTAGATAATTTAATTTAATAACTTAATTTAAGGGTTTAATAATTAAGAGTTATAAAATTATACTTTTTAAAGGTAGATATAATTATAAGTAATAAATTACTAATTTATTATTTAATAATTAATTAAGATCTTATTAATACTAATTATAAAGACCTACTTCCTTAATAAACTTAATAATTAGGACTTTGTTAAGTACTCTTATATTATAAAGATATTTATTAAATAGGTATATAACCTTAGAAAACTTATTAACCTAAGCTAATTTACTATCTTATAGGTTTAAGAATTAAAGAAACTTAAAATTAATAATTACCTTATAAAAAAAGTAAATAAGCCTTAATTATAAATTTTAACCTCTATTATAATAATTAACTAATTTAAAAACTTAATAACCTTATATATTAAGTTAATATAAGAGGACTAAGAGGCTTATAAGGCCTTAATAATAATTTATAAAAATAACCTTAATTAATATATTAAGTAAGTTAATAGAATTTATAATATACTTAATTACTTAACTAAGAACATTAATTTATATTATATTAAAATATACTTATATATTCTAAATATATCTATATAATAAATAATATTTTAGTATTTTTTATTAATTTAAAAGCTATATATAATATTAATAATATATTAAGAAGAAAATAAGCTTAAAAATAGTATTTTAAGGTATTTTTATTAATATTAAATAGTAAAGTGTATTAAGAAGAATAAATTATTACTTAAATAAAGGTAATATAAATTATAAAAATTAAAAGAGTTATATAAATATAATACTTAAATATATAATTTTAAGACTTATTATAAAACTTAAAACAATATTTTAAGATCTTCCTTAAAATTAAATTAAGTTAAAATAAAATAGCTATTAAAGAAAGAACTTACTTCTTAATTACCTTTTTTACTTAAGTTTATTTAGAGATATAATCTCTTAAAAGGAAGGGTAAGAAACTAGGTATTATATATATAGTAAAAAAGAGCTTTAAAACTACTTTTTAAGCCTTATCTTTTAAAAAAAAAGAAAGTAAAGCTAATTAAAAACTAATAAGTTATAAAAGAGCTTAATAAATAAAGGCTTAATAAAGTATTTATATTAATTAGTAAAAATACTAAAGCTAAATATATTATATAAAAAAAGATATAAAAACCTAACCTTTAAGCATATTAGATAGCCTTTTTAAATAATATATTTAAGAAATTCTTATTATTATAAAGGCAGCTTAACCTCTAGGGATAAAGGCTTAAAAAATAAAAATAAAAAGTCTAAGAATTTTATAAAATGCTTTAATAAAAAGCCTAAGCCTTAAAAAATAAGTTAAACTAACTATTTAATATATAAGCCTTAATTTTAAAGAAAGTAATTACTTTTCTAATATTAAGTAATAAATACCTATTATAAAACTCCTTTATCTTAAACTCTAAAAGTATAATTTATATCTTTAATAATACTAAGAGATTTAAGGTATTAAAGTTAATATAAAATAAAGAAAGAGTTTATATTAATTTAATATAGCTTTTAATCCTTAGATATAAAAATATAATAATTAAGATATAGAATATATAAAATAAGGTATAGCACCACATAAATAAAGAGACAATAACCTGGAATATCGTATTCAACAGATTCAAACCAATGATTGCATGAAGTTTCCACAGTCGAGTCGGCGTCGCTCGTCGCCCAGAAGGTGGTGGCTCTGGAATACTCCGTACTGGACAAGGCAATATGTCCTCTGGAGATGAGGTTTGATGTAGCCAAGCCTCAACTTCGATCGGGCATACGTGAGCCGATAGGGATTCAGATCCAGGAAGTCGAAACCATTCCCGGTATGTCGCAGCCAGCTGGCGCAAGGCGGTTATATCTTGTCTCGCCATGTACTGAAATGCTTTCGAGGACTCGATGCATCTTCGAGTGGCGAGCCAAAATGCCGGTACGCAGAACAGGACGTTGAGAATTTGTGAGTCTATTTCGATCCATTTTCGGCGTGGAGAGTTGATGTCGTCGCAGGTCGGGTGACACATAGCTGGTGCCGCGTTGCACATTAGCAAGAAGATCATTCCTCCCCATGCTACTACGTTGAGGCAGTAAACAATAAGAACAGCCTTGAAAAAGGTCATTTGCTGAACCCAAGCCACCGTAACGGACAGCCAGGCGTTTGAGAGACCTGGAGCGAGTTCCAGTTGACTGCGCACGATACTCCCAGAAGAGGCATTTTCTCGCTTGAGCTGGTCCATCCCTTGGGCACCAAAGATGAAGTCTCCGACTCGGGGTAGATCCTGGCTGATGGTCGCCCGGCAATGCTAATCTGATCAAGTGCGGTCTTCCGATTGTCCTGTAGCAGCTGCCAGAGGGAGTGATGGTTACTGGTTTTCGATGCTTTGTCGGGCGGTGCGGTACGGTTAATCGTCTAGTCAAGCAATGGAAATGAAAAACAGAGGGGGAAGAGCAAAACGCTTTGATTTTATAATCAGTAACTGGCCTTCATACTCAGCATCATCGGTGGGGAATATCTTGGCAATCGCTAACGACTGAACTAAAAATAAGGCCCGGACACTCTGTAATGAGCTCGTGACTTACCAAGTGCCGTCACTAATCACCCATACTGGTCCCAAATCCCAGTTCATACGCATATCGTATCACCAAACCAGGACCCGCCAAACCAAAGTGTATCGAACAGCTGGCCAATAAAATTACCAAAGTGATATGCACTGACGATTTTCTAGTGTTAAAAATGCTACGAAGCGCAGTGGGGGAATCGACTAGATGTGGCTATGACTTGCCTCGTGGGAAGAAAACAAGTGAAGTCAAATGTCTAATGGCCAAAGTGGATGACATGACGCACCACTCAGCCACAAATCAAATCCGTTGATCACAATGGCACCTGGCAAGCATCTTTCACATTCTTTCTATTCAGTTGCGGCATGTATGTACCCATGTCTATCCGCTGCTTCTACCTCCCGCCACAATGACAACTCAGCGCTTCACTGTCAACGCTGTAGATCGACCATCTCAAAATCCCCCCCTCCCCCCGAAAAAATAAATATCTGTCATGCCGTTGCCCTTCTCATGAGCAGCTATCCCAGCGCAATTTTCGCTGCCAAGACCTTGCGGGCGCGGGCGCCGTTGAGTCTTCTTAGCCTTAGGTTCTAGCTGTTCCACATACCAGATCAAGTGCATGAACATGACAGAAGCCGAAAATCGCGGAAGCCATAAGAGAGAATATCGTGAGAAAGTAAGTGCCTGCCATTTCTTTGCAGATACTTCATGGCCCTGAAACGCCACAGACCAATAGAATGAGAGTTGTGAGCTAGAGACCTTCAACTATCGTTGCCAAACATCTTGCCTTCCTCTGTAGTGCGAGTCGGTAATTATTTTATGCGATGATAGAAGAGAATGGATGTGTTGAAAGAGGTTAGATACCCAGATCTGGCAAGATAGACCTGTAATGATCATCTTTTTGGCCTACACCACAACGGAATATTTATCCTGAAATTCTGAAATTCCCTTTCTGCCTCTGTGAGACACCCTCAAAGCCTAATAGTGAGACAGACCAGCTATCGTGATTGTGGCTGGTGCACTGTACCAGCCTTGCTCTCCCCGACCGCTGCGGGCCATACCGACTCTGGAGAAGCGCTTGTCAAAAGTCAAGGGAAAGGACGATATTAAAAACAAAGGGCGAATAGTGGTAATGCTGTTAGATTCGCTTTAATGGAAAAAGGAAGATCTCATCAGCGAGTAATGTTGGGAAGTAAGCTCGCGGGCCTCCATGCCGAATGCGGGAGATATCGTATACGACGGGTTCCAAAATTCCAAGCCACTAGCACAATCTGATCGGCCAAGCCGTGAAGCCACTAATAGGTTCGTGGCCTAGTGCCCATAGCGTAATCGTGGCTGGTCCACGGCCTACATCTAGTGGGCTCGGATTGGGCTGTCGTCCCCACCTGTAGGCGCCTCGTCTCAGTGGAAGAACGTCCTCATATTCGATACGGTTGTGGAAAGTACCGGTTGGAATGCTGGGGGTTAAACAAGAGGGCAATGACGAGAGGAAAAAGCAACTTATAACCATAGAAGAAACAAAAGTATAATAAGCAAGAGACCTAAGAGAATACACGACGCAATGAAGGACAGTAGAAGAAGCAAAAGTGGGGATTGTAGGGCGTAATTGAAGAGAGAGGACAGAAAGTTCGCCGAAGACAACATTTCCGCTTGCCTATATACAATTGTGGCATGAGCTTGGGACGAAATTGTGAATCCGATCAAACCGCTATTAAGTATCACTGGTTCCTGATAATCGCAGGCATCTCATAGCCCCGACCTAGGTTAATGTTGTTTGACCCCATTAGAAGGGGAAGCAAGCCCGCTTACAGTTAGTTTCGAAAAATGATGGCCCACTTTCGCATAGATAGTTCGGCTTGTCCCGCCAGTTCCCGCTCAGTATCCCGTTCTTGGCTACCCTAGTGTTTAGTCCCGACTCTCTCGTTTAGCCAAGCTCGTTTAATTCCATTTCTGGCTTGCAGAATCACAGAGCCGCATTACAACAGGCCAGAACATAATCCACACAAGCCAAATCTCGCAATCCAATGCAGAAGCGGCACCTTTCAGACCCCTTGACTCAGCTCCTTCAACACACCGTCGCCGTCACTATCTTCCTGGCGCTGGCGCCAGTGGGTCTTCTTCTTAAGACTGAGCTGTTCCACATACCAAATCAAGAAGATAAACATAACAGCGGCCATGAGGATTGTGTCGAAAATATAAAGGAATATTTCATGAGATATCAGATATCCGCTATTTCCCTGCAGATACTCAACTACACGGAACACACTGCGGATCATGATAATAAAGCTGGCGATATAAAGGACGTAGAGATATCGCTGCCAAGGAATACCACCTCTCCTCGCCATACGAGTTGGCGCCTTGCTTATGCGGCGGTGGAAAAGGATGGCTGTGATCATGAAGAAGCCGAACACGCAGATCTGACAGAATAGTCCCGCGATAATGATCTTTTCGCCGGAGTTATAAAGGTCTAGCGTTCCGCCAGATTGTACGCCTCCACCCCCAGCCTGGAGTGAGAATGCGATGACATCCCCGGTAACGAAGATGCGAGTAACTCACTCAACTCGGATTAGAGATAGGTGTTGAGCTCGAAGGGTGCGAATCAGTCGGCCCAAGATCATGTAAATAGAGGCGGCGTAGAGTGCGGGGGCCACAAGAATTAGGATAGCTTGTAGGACGAACCCACCAACCGACAGAGTATCGTAGTGGCTCCATATTCGACCACAGTAACCAATTGCTTGGACTGCGTAAAGTTCCATTAGCATTACTACGCGAATCTGCCTGGACCTTGGGTTTTGCTCACAGAGATCGCCAATTGTGAAGGCTGAAAGAGTAGTACGCTCGAGCTCTGAGCGGCTTCCAGGCGTGAAGGATAGTGAGAACGGCGAAGACCACAACACTCACGATAGCTGCTCCCAGCGACGGAGTATATCGATATAACTTAACATCGAAACCCGAGTCTCCTTCCGTTCCTTGGCTACTCGCCATGTTGAAGGTGAGTTGCAAGTACGGACTTTGTAAGCCCGACTGGAGCAGAATAGCAAGGGAGAAAGTCGAGGAGACTCGGCGTGAACAAGGCTCAAAGTGAGCGAATATTGCAGTAGGAGTGGAAACTGATGAAGACAGTTGAACGAGGATGAAAGGAGGCTATAGAGAGGGTTAGATATCTTTTCTCCGACGGAGACACAGTGTGGCCACAAGCTGATCGTGGGAAACAAGCCTACTTGCAGTAGAGTACAACTGACATCCCTTGCTGTGCTGTGGATCAAAGGGTTAATTGATACGATGCGAGATCCCATTAAAACCGACTGAACGAGATACGAGCACGCAGAAAAAAGGTCCACTCGTTACTTTAGCTTGGATCCACCTGTCGTGCTCCTACGATAAGGGAAGAAATGCTTAATGCGTCATAGCGTTGGGTGCTTAGTTCACTGAGTTCACGACCAAAGGTTTTAGCGTTCTTCGTGATGTAGCTGTGCTTCCGAAGTACATGGTGAAGTCGGTTTGGCCAGAGTTCATGCGAAACTGAGAACACTTTTTCTCTGTTTCTGATAAGTTAAGCTACCAAGGTAGAGGTAACGGGATCCTGCAGCTAAGTAACAGGGGGTAGCCACAGCCACCCGGATAACGCCAGGGTTGATCTCAGAACGTAGACTAGACTTCTCTGTTCGCCGCGTTCCATGACGGACTGATGATATTATCAGACAACAGAATTGCGAGCTAAGAAGGGAGTGATGTGGATTGAAAAGATTCCAATCCAATGTGGCATGTAGAAGGATATGTTTGGTAAACGCATTTAGAAGTGAATATTGGAGAGCGCCTTATTACTGTATTTCTATTCGGCCTTCTACCACTAACAGCGGAGTAAATATGTCTTGTTTGCAGTTTCTTACCAGACTCTTAATACAAACTTGATTCTTAACGATGCTGAGGTTTGTTCCTTTTCTTCTTATTATGCGTTTTTGTTTTTTCCTTAAAAAAAAAAAAAAAAAGGGTTTCTTATGATAGGAGCTATATTTGGACTTCAATTCCATTCCTTCAAGGAGCATCTACTTTCACAGGAGCCAAGAATGTGAACACACTGACCTACATATCCTTTTTCGGTGGATTCTCTCCACCATAAGTGATTCAATAAAGTAGCGGAAAGAGTGATCTATTCTCGTCAAAATAGATTATATCATCTCGCCATCTGTACGTCTTCCTGGACAAAGTCTCACAATATTCTCACCAGAAACGCTTGGACGATGCTGAAAGGCTAAGGATGAAAGAATTGGAAGGACAAAGGGGGGTAAGCACAAGATGTGTATGTTGTAAAAGCAATAGCAGTCTAAAACAAATATCGCAAACCTTTTCTAATAACATCAAAGTTCTTTTCCGCCTATAGGGACCCGGCCCTAAATCCAACCTGTCCACTCTCTCAGTCCCGCAGCTCTCCAGGTTGGCTATGAGACCTTCTACGTGCTGGTGTAATCCTCACTTTTAAAGGCGGCTTCTCCCAAAAGACGAACACTTTTTGCCAGCTCATCCAGCCGCCACTTTCCGACGCAAGATCGAAATCAAAATGCCATAGCATGTGCGCGAGAACCAGGCGTATTTCGGCCCAAGCAAAGCTACTAGGTGTGAGACTTCGGAAGTGCCAACAGTGCTGATTTTGCACCAGGGATTGAAACTGTTACTTACTCCCCCCCGGGACAATTTTGCGGTCCCATGCTGAACGGCTTCATTGTAGCCCTGTCATCCCCTTCAAATTCGGCTGGGCGAGTCTTGAACCATCTCTCAGGAGCCATGTCATCCGGGGCATGGAAGTTCAGCGAAAACCGGTGGGCCGCCCATAAATGCATGGTAAGACAAGTATCAGGTGGAATTATTTCTCCCATCACAACGTGCCCTTCCTTCTCCGTCCGACGGAATAGATTTCCTGGTGCAGGAGGATAGAGGCGGAGAATCTCTTTTAAGACGGCTTGAGGTACTCCTGCCCTTGAAGGGCAAGTAGTGTCATTTCGGAACTGCTGTGGAACTGTGTGCGTAGCATTAAAGTGAGCCTTCGAAGTATTATGGGGTTCTTTAAAAGCAGATAGACTGAACCTGTGAGCAAGGTGGCAGCTTTGGAAAGTCAGCCAATCAGTAGTGGGTATAAAGCATAGATCGAACTTCAGCCGGAAGTACTTTCTTGTCTCGCTTCCAGCGATGATCAGAGCCATCACCATGACTTCCCTTTCAGTAGGTGATACTCTACAGCAACATCAGCAACGTCCTCCAAATTGCAGCACTATGTCAGCTTAGGGAACGAACCTCTCTTGTCCAGTAGCCTCGGTTCCACGTGATATAAACTCGAACCCATGAGGCAGTTTCTCAATTCGCTTAGAGATGGCCGTTACCGTCATCGACGTCTTCCGTAGCTTCCCGCTCCAGGACCATCACGTATCAATCACCCGAAGCACACCTGGATACAGGCTCAACTCTCCAACAGAATTGAAGATTCTTACGACCCATGGGATGGCCGCGAGCCAAGGATGACTTTGGCCACGCTCAAGGCAACCAAAGCTGTCACCAAGGATGACTTCGCCTACAATATCTGCCGTAAGAAAGTTGATCCAGCAACCGAGGTCGACTTTACCTGTTTCCGACTGGCTCTGTGATTGTTGAAGCCCGTAGATAAAGAGGGCTGTATATCTTTGAAGGTGGTCCTCCTGGTGTGATGACTTTAACCTATTCTTTAGAAACCGGCGGTCACTGCCTTTACCGAAGATTGCCTGTACGTTACCCAAAAACGTTAGGAATGCCACCTCTCCACATCGTAGAGCAATTCTTCCGAAATGCCCAGTCAAAGGTTGATTTCGAGGGGAAATAAATGACCTTTACGTACCCTTTGTGTCTTTGTGTAGTATTTGGGGTCTTTGGGAATCTTTCCTCGGCCCCCAGGTTGTTTCGGCCCATATATGTCTGAGGAAGTGTTAGAAAGGCATGCGGTTCATACTGCTGGATGATCATGACGCGACATGAGTGTTGGAAATAACCCCAGCAGTCCATGCTCGGCTCGATGTGAATGAAAGAGTATCGGGATTGATGCGCACAACGTGGCCGTACTTCTGGTGAAGCGCTTGGGTTTCTTGGACCACAGTTCCTCGCAGTATTGAGACTGTGTATGGTATACGGCTTGCCGCCAGCCACCACGGCCCAGGGTACTTGTGAAGAGGGTGAAATCGGATATTGTAGATGGCATGTAGAACGATGTAAAATACGCACTATTTTAGAGTCTTTCAGTTACACTGGATCAAAGTAATGTACGCCAAAACTTACCACAATGAATAACACTCCGAAAATTGTTTTCCACGACGAAGACATGGAGTGGATAAAAAGGGACGGAGACATAACTCCCAGCTGTAATTTGGGCTCAGACATCGTGTATGTTGCAGGTAGAAATTGGGTGAAAGCTCCAGGTGCCCTGACGTTCATGTCATGATCAAATCCGCTCTTTTTCATGATAAATACTGTAACTATCAAGACGTACGAACCACCGGTACGGGACGGCATATGCCGGATGCAGCTTGCACTTCAATCGACGTAGTGGAGGGATCAGCAAGTGCTTTCGTATGGTATACGACGCTTCCCAAGTTGGGCTTAGGCCCGTTCGGTCAGTTCGCTCCGACTCGTTTAACGACTCGTTTATCGTACATCACATACCATCACTGCTGGCTGGGGGAATGAGTTTGGATACCAGGTGTGTATCCTGTAAGCGCTAGCTTCATTAAAGATAATACCATATGCGTATTAGCTTCTACATACTGATTTAAAGTTTACTGGTTGGCCTTCCTCGGCCTATACCAGAATTAGAAATATAATAATCTTTAAATAGGCCAGACAGGAGGTGCCAGTACATCAAAAGGTATTCACACGTCTCCCCTCCACTGTACACGGCGACTATCAGGTCGTTAATATGACCATAATCACAAGGCTGCAGACGGCGACGCTTTTCCGATATGGTGTCGTCGTCTCATTCCAGCCAATCGTCATCGACGAGAAGGCCAGCGTCACGGTATTCCTGAACGAAGTCGGGAACATCAACCTTGGCATCGTCATGCTGCGAGCCGATGCCACCACAAATGCGGCCACTAATTCAATACTAGTGTCTCACTTTCGCTTCTTGGTTTCCGGGCTCGGAAGCAAGCAAAAGTACATTCCTACACCAGCCGTTAGACCAGTACCTAAGTCATCGCTCCGAAACCCCATTCGGTTAAGTATCAGAGCCGAGAATGCCATCTACTACACCCTCTACACGGCCTCTAGCTCTGACACAGATATACCTTATGAACTCGGACATGCACCGACTACAATTGTCAGTCGCGGTGTGGGCACGTTCACAAGAACTGGGAATTGCGGCCCCTGTCTCCTTTTCAAATTATTAATATTCTACACTGAGTGTGCTTCTAGGAGCCTATACAACTAGTAACGAAGGTAATAGATCTACACAATCGTACATCTTTCGATGGAGGTATCAGAACGTACCGCAAGAGGTTGCAAAGGAGGTTTTCGTCACCCAAGGAGCGGAGTGGTTTTTGGAGTTTCACCAGTTGGATCCAGCTTCGACTGTGACCTTAGGATAGATTAACTTTCGTTTCGGACATAATCTTTTACTTTTTTGTCTGGAAAGAAACAGACACATTTTATTTTTCTATGTATTCTCCACCTCTGCCTAGCACGACTGATGATAACACAAGAGCCTGGATCACACAGACGGCGACTGCTCCGTTGAAACATCAGAGCGTTAACAGCGCTCAGTCGCAGTATCCTCTAAGCTATTGTTAGCTCCAACGCCCAGTTCCATGAAGTCAGTCTCTTAATACAGACCGCATATCCTGTTGGTCCAGGAAATCCCAATGCATGTACTACGTCAGGTGGAGAAAAGCTGTCAAACAGTTGATACTTGAGCTATATGGTACAATATTGTAACAACAGAGAGTATTTCCTCTGAAAACGTCTCGGAAAGACCTCAATCAAAAAAACATGGCCAGCACCGCCCTCATGAAGCTGCTGCCGAACATTTAAGATGCAAGGGTGAAGCAGGGACTTGGATGCGTTGTAGTCAAGCGTTCAGACCGTGGAAGAAATTAGTCCAAACGTAGCGCTGACGGACACCAGATGCCCCTGAGACTGCTTATGAAGGTGAGGAACAAAGGCTGCGGTGAGGTGGATGGCAGATATGCCCGAGTTGAGAATGTCAGAATCAAGGTCTGGGTCAGACTGGGTGATGGATTCGGCAAAGTCTTAGATTGCGGTGAGGTTTGTGACGTCAAAGACTATGGCCTTGGAATTATCTCCGTCGTGCTTCTTGAGAAAAGCTTCGAGTTTATGTCGACGTCGACCGACGATAATCACCTTTGTGCATGTGGCTATGAGCTTGGTAGCAAGGGCCTCTCGAATGCCGGAAGATGGACCAAGCACGAGGGTCTTTTGTTCTGGGGGGGCCATGTTTGTAGAGAGCGAGATAAGGTTAGTATTATTTTGCAACTACAGCACAATCATCAACCATCTTCACGGATAACGGCACAATAATGCTTATATTCCTTACCAGCCGTCTAACCATGGACCATTTTAAGCGGATTGCTCTGTATGGCCATCGCGGCTGGGCCAGCTCGGCCATCGCAAATTCTCTCATTGCCGCGGGCGGGCCAGTCAGTGTACTCCACCGGGCAACTTCAGACACAAGTGCCCTTCCTGCAGGGACACCAACCTGTGAGATAGACCTTAAGAACCGTAAATCCATTCAAGATGCTCTCAAAGATATCGACATCCTGATGTAAGATATCCAGACTAATAACGCGCCTCAGAAACTCTACTGACTACCATGAAAGCTCTCTGGTCGGTCACCAGAATGTCAATCACCAACTCGCCCTTATCAGCGCACTTCCCCACATTGACGTCCGCCTCTTTGTGCCTTCAGACCTTGCTCACAAGATGACCCAGGAGCAGATGCTGATACCTAACCTTAGAGCGAAGGCGGAGGTAGAGCAGGCCGCAAGGGATGCTGGTATATCGACGACAGTAGTAAGACCTGGTAGTTTGGTGGAATCAACTTTCTCCACTCCGTGAGTAAAGCCTCGATATCGTGAACCCTTCGATTAATTCGGTACTCTTTTCAGTCTGGTCGGAGTCGACATTCAAGGGAATAGGATCGTCCACACCGGAGGCAGCGCACATCAGAGCCTTAATCTTTGGTATGCTCATCAATATCCACATTGCCTATTAGCGCTTTCTTACACTAGGTTTGAAGCTCCCGACAATACGTTGCCGCCGCCTACGCAGCTATCTTCGCCCGGACCCCTATCGCTCAGCTTAACGGCCGAGCTATCGGTCTCCGCGAATTCATTTGCACGGGCTCTGAGATCCCTGCAGCACTGCAACGCAGGCACGGCGTTCCTCCGAAGGTATACCACCACAGCCTAGAGCAGGCCAAACAGGAGATTGAGATACGGATGCGGAATGGGGATCTTTGCGCTCTTGCATTTTCATACCGCTACCCAAGGGGTGCAGGCAAGCAGGTCGAGCTTGTTGGGGACCACGTATGGGAATTACAAGGTTACAAGAAAAAGACGCTGGAGGAAGTAACAGTAAAGGGTAGAATGGAGCCTTATAAGGAGTTTCCTCCTGTGTTGGCAGCAGCATTAGAAACCACATTTTTTTAAGAGTCCAATGAGGAAATATCAATGCAGCCTGCAGAGGGGCAGAAGTTATACCTTTTGATTCAGAAAGTATGGTGGATTGTCACAGTGTTGTACAATATGCTTTAGCCCACATTCCTCAGCCAAAACAAATGCGACAACCAAATAAACAATTTCACGTCGCTCTTCCCTTTTGGGGGCTTCAGAATAACACACGATTGAAGGTGCATCGCGCAATTACGATCTACTATGTCTCAATTACAACTTTGTGTCGTAGACAGGGCCGCGTACCTGCACGACACGACTGCACACCTATATCACGGAACTTAACTGATCTTGAGGAAGATACAATTTTCCAATACGTTCTCGACCTGAATTCGCGATCATATCCTCCCCACCTTCGGGATATGTTGAAGTTGTTTGGCGTTATAATCGTCAGCCTCTTCCTGCCTCAAGACGGCTGTGAACTTTTGCATCTCTATGATCATACGTTGTGAGAAATTGGACTCTGTAACCTTGGCTATTGAATTGAGGCGCCAGTCAAGGACGAAAGCCGTTCCGTTCGAGCCCGGCCATGCCTTTACCATTATGTGGTAGATATCTGATTTGTGCCCCAAATCACAACAAACCCTGAGCATCTGGATGGTACTTTGTATGAAGGTAATTTGGGGGGTAAAGTGTTAAAGGCTTACAGCTGAAATCCCCCGAGATATTTGATTCCGGCTCGACCTGTTTCTGTGACTTTTGCGTACTACTAACAGTCAATTCACTTACATGTCTTCAGAGAGCCAGATTAATGCCATAGAAGCGGCCAGTGCTCCATCTGCGTTATGTCGACTAAAATGAGTGACGGCGTGTCTTAGATTTTTAATAGCCATCATCTGATAATGATAAGCTCTTTGGCGAGCATATTGGCAGCCATTGGCCATTGTAACTTAATAAGCCGAAAGGGCGAGGAGTCCATTCATCGCCTGCCGCGACGTTGACACAATCTTGAAGAAGCTGGGTGAGAAAGATTAGCCCGGAAAACTGAAAGTTACAGTTGAATATCAACTAACCTCGGTGCGTAATAGGCTAGGATCGTCAATATATGCGCGTCCATGATCGAAAGCTCATCGTTCTTCTTGGCGGCAAGGTAAATATAGCACAATTCGTCTTCAGGATACATTGTCGGTTGCAATGTTATCCAGTCATTGATACCTGGGACGGGTATCAACCCAGTTCTCCGCCATTGTCTCACCTCTGCCCTGGCGTTGACCAACCACGGTCGGCTGGACTTGGTGATCGGTATAGATTGTTGGTGGCGCTCCTGTCAAGGCGCTCTCAGCAGCGTCTCGCCCTGTGTTGATACATCATGGAATACACATTTGACCTTGTGCTTAGTGCAGTTGTGACTATGCGGGAACTAGAAAACAGTGAAGCTGAGTAGTGCGACTGCACATACCACTGCGGATAACCCTCATCGCAGCGGATGTGCCAGCGCTTGCTGGACAAGGCGCGTGTCGGTAAGCACGACTAATCTCGTGTTTCTTAGGTTCAACATACCATGTTACGCAACTCAACTCATATGTGACTTTGTATGGCTTTGGAGAGGGTCAGTCAACTTCTAGATGACGTGCTGCTGGGGTCCTACCTCCGTCGGTGCCTACCCTTTACCTTGCTATTCAACTTGGGTCGCCTTTGAGACGTGCCTAGTGAACAACTGGGGGATGAAATAAGTGACCGGCACAAATAGTAAGATGAAAGAGAAGTAACAGAAGTGAAGGGTATCACAGAGATGAAGTATCTGTCTGCACCAGCAGAAAAACAATAGCCGTTTCTAAGTTTATCTTAGGAGGGGACCCCGTCTCCAAAGCCGATACACCTAGACGCGAAGTGAGATGTGGCTTCAGTCCGTGGATTCATCCGACGAGCGTGGATTTGGCTACTTAGCACCTTAGGTCGCAAAGAGTGAAATGTCTCGTACCTCATCTTCTCTCGTGAGCCACGGGCACTAGGACCCTTCACCGATGATGGCGTTTCGAGAGCAAACATGTTCTGTAGATCCCTGATGATAAACCCGACAAGCTTATTAAAGTCCGTGTAAGTACCGTGGAGACGGGTCTGCTATGTATCACAGGCTTAACTCTCTTTCTGGGCCAAGTTTGCGATGCGCATTGGCGCCTTGCGGTTGTAATCATAATGGCGTCGTCTAGTACGAAACTAGGCTCAATGCGTGCAATCTCTACCAATCCTCCAGCAAATCGCTGACACTGCTCCTCACTCAGACAGCTCTTGACCTCTGATTTACCCCGCTAAGTTACTACGAAGCCAAACTCCTCTCTACCAGGGTCTCAACACTAGGAACAGGCTCCACTTATTCGGATCGTATACCACGCAACGAATGCAGCATGTCTCGATCGACAAGACAGCATTAGTTTAAGCCATGGTCTTCTTCTCTGGCGCCCTACTACTATGCTAAGGACTGCTGGTAATTTAGTAAATTACACGCTTTTAGTCTATGCGCTAATCCCCCGTCGTCATTCCTGTTAAGAAATTACCTCCTTTTTATCCGTGCACGCTAGTTAGTGTTAAACTCCCCACCGCCCTTAATAAATTCTTTAACTGCTTACCCTAGGAATGGTAAAGACTGTGATAGTAGTATAGAGGATATTTGTTAATAATAATAAAGCAGATATCTAGTAAGACTTAATACTATTAAAGCCGGCTATATAATAAAGCAATCTAGAATTATAATATAGTTAGTAAGTTATATTATTAAAAGAAGTATAACTATATAATAAGTAGGCGGCATACTATACTAAATAATTTAAAAAAAGCCTACTCTATAACACTCTAAAACCTCAAGCAAAATACCTAAAAATTTAAGACTATTTTCAACAGTGTCCCATAAGCGAGTGTTACGTATTGTTAAATTTTAAGGTGAATTGTGTGCTATTTATCTTCTTGTGTGTGATATTGCTGTCTCCTGCTTGCTGCTTGAGTGTGACGGTTGTGGTTTCCCAAGGGATAAACTAGTCCGTACTAGGTTTATGTTGGCAGATAACGTAGGGCGTGATGCTGAGCAATGCGAAGTGTCACGTCTCTTAATAGTTAATAGTGTGGTTTAGGCTTATTAAGGTAAAGAAGTTGTATTGATAGCTGGTGAGCTAGAATCTATGAAGTGCTAATGAATGTATGCTATATACTTGTGGTAACTCGCGGTAGTGAGTCGGTACTCACGCATGAGCCGTGAGTCTAATCGTGAGCCCTGTCGAGCGGCTCACGATGGAAATGAGGAGAAAGCGTGAGTCGTTAGTTGATTGGGGGAAATTTATGGGGTCCACGTGATTTAGCTACGAGGATCGTAACATTGAGGTTTAAAGCAACCTCTATATATATTTCCTATGCTATATAGAATTAACTAGAAGTTGCTTGCTAAGCCTGTGACAATAGGTGGTAACTATAATGTTTAATGATAATATTTATCAGCCTTTTAAGCTACTTATATTAGCTTCTTTTTGACACTGTTTAATATACTTTTGAAGGTGGTGGGAACATGCAAGAAAAAGAACAGCGCAAGTCAGTGATTTTAGGTATCTTCCTATTGAGATCTATATAACTCAGGCAAGACAAGTTCAATTAGAAAGAGGGTTTCTTCACAAAACGGATAATTCAAGAATCAATCTTTTAATATTAAGAAAGTGCACAAAAGAATATAAAACTCAGTACGAAAAGCATAAAGTATTAAGCATCAAAGAGCATGTCTACATTAATCAAGCCTAACACGTATTGCATCTACCATTAGGGCACGTGACACTTAAGCATTGCTCAGTTTACGCCCTACAGACCTACTAACATAAACTTAGTACAGATTAGTTTATCCCTTGGGAAACCCAACCGTCACACTCAGACACTTGCTAGTCATCTATGTTGAAATTGGTGAAGATAAGACCAGCTAGCCGGAGGACCGAGCTACCAGTCAGGGAGCTGTCTCAGCACTGTAACTACCCCTCAGATAGGCCATTACTAAACAAATAGCAATAGGTCCTAACCTAGCCATCAGAAAAAGAAGGACAATGAGAATAGAGATTTTCACCCCAATACTTGACAGATAGAATTCCTTGGCGGACCTTGGCTTAAGGAAGTTGTATTGATAGCTGGTGACCTAGAATCTATAAAAGTGCTAATGAATGTGGTCTATATACTCAAGTGGTCTTCAAGGACCGATGGCGTTGTATGAACGGTCCAGGGGGACCGTTGAGCTTAATGCGTCGGGCCTGGTGGGGCTAGGAGGATCGAAGTGCTTGGGAGATCGTTCCTGCTGCTGTGTGACTGGATGTCTTTGTGATTGGTGAAAAATAGTGGAGTGCACATAACGTAACCGCGAAGGTGGTAACATTATCATCCACGTAAATAAATTTAACTTTATAGCTAGAAAGATTGTACTGCTTAAGAGTAACGTGCATAATAATCGAATGTCGCAGACAAGCGAGTGTTGCAGTGATACTTACACCTTAAATTGCAATTTATAAAAGTTCTATAAAAATCGAAATTAAATATAAAACAGCTAATATTCAGAATGTAGCTTAGCTAAGACCGAATATATACAGTAAACAATCTTAGATAGTAAGCATACTTAACATTAGCGCTAGAAACCTTAATAAATATGCCGTTTTGTATCTTTTTAGGATTTCTCAAGTTTGTACTTCCTACAAAAGCTGTGGAATATGGACATGTTCTTTCTTTAAAAGCCAGGCCTTGTTAGGTCTGTATGCAGAGTTTTAGATATTATCCTGCTCAGGCTTAGTTTTTGAAGGCTGGTACAAGAATAGTTATTTAGGGTGCATATACTAAGTGCAGCATTCGCTTATCATGCACGTTAGCAGTTTATTATTAAATTTTGTAACTACCTGGCACGAAACACCGCTCGCTAAAGGCACAGTCTTGCCGGAATACCTTCACCTTTCCCATAGTGTCTGTCGTAACGATCACATTACCACCAGGATGCCTGCTACGCTCAGTGTATGCCCTGCATTTTTGTAGTTGCGCTATGGTGAGCTCTGTTTCCCCGAAAATCGAGCACGAAGTGCTTGTTCCGTCAGCTGTGTTCTCCTGCAAATCACATAGCGCGACAGCAGGCGGATTACAAAGGTCATAGATCGGGTCCTTTGAGGCGTTAACAATCTCCCGGCTTGCCGCTGGAGCTATCAAGGCATTGGTGACTACCTCAGAATGTGTACGAAAACTCTCGTGAGGATGCTCATGTTTCAATTTGGGCTCATCTAACCCTAAGTGCCAAATATGGACCTTGTCTTCTTCGCTGCCGCAAACAACATATGTCCCATCCTCATTGAAACGGGCGCGTATTTGACTTGATAGGTTCATTAATCCCTCAATTTCGGCAGTAAGAGTCTGGTCCGTGAGATTATAAATGCGTATTCGGGAATCATTTGTCGTGATCATCACCTTTACTCGGCGGTTGGGATCGATGCTGCCAGGTTTCAGCACTGTCTGTATGCCTGTGATCTTGACGCCTATCTCAACCTTGGCGTGTGGAGACCAGGTACATGTTCGATGATTTCCCTTCAAGCCGACAGTATCGAGAAAGATACACGTGCCATGGAAGCTGCCCGCCATTGCGACCTTACCGTCCGGTGAGAAAGCCACGGCGGTGATGACATCCGTCATGGAAGACGAATAAGCGACTGACGTGGTCGGAATACTCCATAGCCTTAGTATAGCGTCGAAGGATCCTGAAAGGAAGAATCGATCATCGATTGGATGGAAGGCAACGGAAGTGACAGTCTTGGCATGCCGGAAGACACGCAGGCAGGTCGGCTGACTTGGGTGCCAGAGACGAACTGTCTTATCTGTCGAACACGAGAGTATGAAGTCATTTTTGCTCCAACTCAAGGACAGCACCTCTCCTGTGTGACCTGTGTACTCTCTGATTGGCGTCGACAGGAATACAGGTGCGTAAAACCTCTTTGTTGCTGGGCCTGCCTGGTTTTCGTCCCCTTCCTCAGCCATACGCTCTTCCTCCGTGGAAATGACCTTGAAGACCTTGATGGACGGGTCCTTTCCAGCGACTGCTAGGTAGCGACCGCTGGGGCTAAAATCAGCCGCCCATATCGTGGCATGGCCACCGTTCAAGATCTTACCCCCGATTGCGATCTGCGTGGCCGACCGAGCTAAACTGTGGTCGGGTTGTGATCCGCCAATCAATTCCTGCGCGAGAAAAAGGGTTTTGAAATGGCTGTTTCTTAAGTTGCGATGCTTGATTCGGATGTACCCTGGTATGTCTGCCTGAGCGATTACGAGGTTGCCCTGGGTGTACGGCTCAGTCATGTCGCAGTCATATCCGCACGTAAAAGGCGACGTCAAAAGATTTGTAAATCTCGACAGAAAGGGTAAGGAATAAAGCCAGGTTTGATGATACCAAGTTAGACGCGGTGGTAGTTTCGCCCTGCCCAGCACATTCAGTTGCACACGGCTACTCTGCGTGATAGTAATTCTAGGCTAGATAGTGGGTGAGCGAACAGGATCTTCAAGCGTTGTATAAACATACCTTAACGGCTGTATAGATATGGTGAGCTTTTGGTGGTTGGCTAATGTAGTCCAGCAGCTGAGGTGATTAAGTGTTATTTAATGCTGGACTCCAGCAGATTTATCATTGCAGCAATCGTGCCAAAGCTCTACATCCCGGGGCAGGGGGGGAAGGGTTTCCAAGGCTCGGAGCGAGCATACGGTGGTGCGGAATGTTCGTATATGCTGGCTCAGGGACTGAAACAGTATCGGAAATCATTCGTAAACGCACTCCACTTTCACCCCTGAGTCAACGCATGCCTTTCTATAAACTTGTACACTCACCCCTGCTAAACTACAAACCAGGCAAATGCTCCTTGATGGGTACATAGTATAGGCGACAAGAAAAATGGGTACGCTGAATTATACGCGTTTATCATGCATGTACGCCGTATCTCTCTCAGCTCGGTTGTGAGCTTGCAAAGCGGGCCCTAAATACTGGGGCCGCTGCCGAGCCCAATGAGGGGCATAACTGAGCGAAGTTAAACGACGGTTATAAACGAGTAAACGAGTTCTTACGAGGGCATTAGGCAAAGCTCGAGGCTGATTCACATTGCACATTTCCACAAGGCATATTTGAGACACGGAATAGTGACACAACCTCACAGCCCCGCAATTTAGTAATCGTTGAGACGAAATTGACCTCCCTTTGTGCCATGTTTTAACAGCCACCATCTTCCTTTAAGTGAGATTTACCATTATCAGCTTTTCTCTTTTGTGTCTAATATTGCTTTCTCGATTCCCTAGTTAAGGACGCCAGCCTGACCTCTTTGTAATACCAGTCTCTCTTTACATGCAATCGTGTTTCCGCCGCCCTTTCGGCTATTATTTCCTTTCCTCCATCATTCCTCTGGCATTTTAAGATGTATCTTCTGCATCGAAGCGTGCCAGCTGCTCAGGCAGAGGAACAGTTCTCACTTTACCACTACCATCCGATGGTAGCTGGTGGAGTCATCTTCGCAATGCTCTTTCTGAGTACTACTTTATTCCACTTCTGGCAACTAATCCGGGCAAGGTGCTGGTTCATGATCCCTCTAACCGCTGGCGGCATCTGTAGGCAACGCTGGTGTCCTCTAGGAGCGGGCTTACATTGACTAACGGCTATTGCCTTCTTGTAGTTGAAGGCATCGGATATGCAGCTCGAGCTAGGTCTGGTAACGAGAGCCCCAACTGGACGCTCGGTCTGTATATTATGCAGGCAATTCTTCTACTCGTCGCGCCGGCCCTTTTTGCGGCAACAATCTACATGGAGCTTGGCAGGATAATCATCATGACCGACGGCGAAAAACGTGCTTTGATTCCCAAAAAGTGGATGACCAAGATCTTTGTCACTAGAGATGTCCTCTCATTTATTCTTCAGGGTGGCGGTGGGCGATTTACGTCTTGGCCGCATGATCTACGTGGCCCTGAGAGTAATTACGCTAACTGTAGATATCAGGAGGAGGCTACCAATCCTCCGGCTCCCTCGAAGCCTTGAACAACGGTGCCAAAGTCATTATCGGGAGCCTCTTCGTCCAACTCATCTGCTTTGGCGTTTTTATCGTCATCGCTGTGGCCTTTGACCGATCAATTCGAGAATCCCCAACGGGACGCTCCCATATGGTTCCCTGGAAGAAGCACATGATGGTCTTATATATTTGCAGCATGATGATCATGGTACGATCTGTCTTTAGGGTTGTTGAATACCTCCAGGGCTTTGACGGGTACCTGCTCAAGCATGAGATATACCTCTATCTCTTTGACGCTGTCCTGATGTTCCTTGTTATGTTATTATTCAGCTGGATTCATCCGGCAGAAATCACTGCGATCATTTCTCAGAGGGGAAATACTTATGGTTTAAAAATGGGTCATATCCCAGGAAGTCATCGTCGCTTGGCTTCAGATGTATAACATTTATGGGCTCTTGTCCAGCCAACGCCGACCTCATCGGCCTTATAAGATGTTTGTTACGAAGAGTGTGTCAATAGAATATAGAGTTAGATGATTGCATGTGGAATCATATCCCGTGACTTTCTTCGCTAGTTCAGTACGCCATTTTCCACAAAGAGGAAAAAACACGTTATCACGTTATGAGACGCTCCTGGGACATGCTGACTTTTCGGGTGCATACTGAACTAAAACGAAAGAATCTGAAGTGACAGTGGCCTTTCAGAAATTGCCAAGCGCGTCCAGTCCCTATTACTCCAGACCTCTAATACAGTGCACCTTCAGTACAACTTTGGGGACCGCCTCCTAAATCGGGCTTTTGAATAAAGTCATGAATACTGAAATTTGCATGAGAACTAGACGTCTTCGGCTAGAAGGTTTGCTTGGTACCCAGGAGATACGCGAGCTCAACAGTCGTGAGAAACTCTTGACACGGTAGAAATTGCAATTTCAATATTAGATTACGTCCCAAGCTTGGCCAGTCCGACAGAACAAAGTGAATGAGTTATGAGGACGACGTTTATAAGGTATTATTTGACTGGAGGGTTTGTAAGATATAGTAAGGAAAGCTACAAACTTGACTGGGGTGACATGTTGTCAGTATAGTATGATGAATCAAGGCGTGTAGGGAGAAAGTTAAGAATTAGATTATGGTCCCTGGTTATAGAAGGTAGAGCTAAGTGTCTATGAATAAAGTGCACCTTATCTGCAGAATGATGCATTATATTTATATCCTTTAGCCTAATTCTATTTCTTTATTAGATGTTTTATAGCTTTAATTGCATTACTTTTACTCTTTAAGACAATAATAACTACTTCTATAAAAGGCTTATTATACTTACTATAACCCTTATATTAATAAATAACTAAGTAACTAATTATAATATATTTAAGGCTTTAACCCTCCTTAAGGACTTATAGTTCTTTAATAGGCACTTTGTTTTAATAAAATATATAATTATTTTCTTAGTATTAGGTTTAATAGTATATCTTTTATATATTAATTACTTATTATAATTTATATTTTAAATACTTTCTAGATAATAATAATACTATAAATTATAAGTTATTCTTATAACGTCTTAGGATATCTTAAGGTTTTTTTTACTATTAATTTATCTAAAGGTAAAAATAAATACTTTTAAGGTATATATTAGCTAGTTACCTATATATAATTAGGCTTATTCTTAGTTATTTTAATTATTATTAATAATTTATAAAAATAGTTTAATTTACTACTTATCCTTAAATGGTTTTATAAATAAAGTCTTTTTACTTTTAGGCTTATTAATTTATTTAAGTAATAAGGCTATATTAAAAGTCTTTTAAAAAGTAAAAAAATTAATTTATTTATATATAATTAATTTTAATTAAGCCTTTTAACCCTAGATCTGATCTTTTTATAAATAAATATTTAATTTATTATATAAGTAAATTTAATAAGATTATAATAATATAAAGAGAGTTAATTTTAATAGGTTTTAAGATCTAGGTTATCGCCTAATGCGGCTCCTTTATTCAGTGGCTTTGGCACTTTAAATGCTTAAAATATAATACCCTAGGCGGGGGACCAAGGTGAAAGAGAGGCCGCCCCAGCCAACAGAAGAGAAAGGCATCTGGCGAAGAGGTAGCTGCTCTCATGAGGCTAGGAAATACATAGGGCATCGTTGTTGCCCTATGTGATTTGGTGCCAAAGCAGAGTTATCACGTACTTGTAGATAACCTCTTTTTAACACCGCCTCTTTTTCAAAGACTTCGTGATTATGGCTACGGGGCAACAGTCACAGCCCGCCCTAACTGCGGCATACATAAGGACCTAAAAAGGGATAGGCAGCTTAATAAATCAGGGTGTTGTGACTATGCCTTTATCGAAGTCAGGGCAATCCCAACGAATGATAACCCGGTGAGCATATATGATAAATTTATATATATTTTCCTTATTATCCTATCCTTCGTCTCATGCCCAGGTCAACTAGATAACTTGGAAAGACAACGCTCTTGTGCTTTTCCTAACAACTGTATTCTAAGGTGATGAGCATACTGATAAAGGGAGGAAGAAGCCATCCACAGACCATCTAGGAGCCCAGCCAGTTCAAGTGTGGTTTGGCGATAATACCACTAAAGTCGTGCCTATTCCTACCGCGGCTGCCGCCTAGAACGCTGAAATAAATCATGTTGACCGAAGTGACCAATTAAGGTCATGCACAACCTATGATCATCCCCTTTGCCGGGGGCTTGGCAGGCTCTTACTTGGACCTCCCTTCTTGATGTTGCACTCGTAAACAGCTGTATCCTTCAACGATATAGTCCCCAGCTAAATTGGGAGAGATACAAGTCACAAGAGCAGACCTGCGTATATAGATATCCATCGAAATTCTGGCCCTCATATCGATATCCAGCTAAGTGGGAGAAATTATCTGGATATCGATATATCCAGGTAGATATCCATATAGCCGCATAGCCACTTTAGCAATGTTGCTATCCAGATAAACCACATATATTTCTTGCAGGCTAGAGGAAAGAACAAGAAAGCGCCCTGATCTAGAAAGTCCTCTACCTCTGTTTCAACGCTAAATTCAACAACAACGCTCGAAATAATGCCCCTGTCGCCGTGAGACCTGGGTACAATGATACCCTCGTGCATCCAGTTGCCCATACACTCAACCTTCGCCAGGCTCTCGCAGGTCATGCTCTCTCTATCCCATGATAGCGTACACCGCGCCGATGAGAAGTAAGACTCAACATCAGATGATTCAGGAGGGATTGAGAGGATATCAATTGCCATGCGGGATAGCTTTCCTTTGATCTCGATGTAGCCACCACTAGAGACGAGAGCCAGTTATCTGGGTCGGTGGTGCATCAATAAAGGTTTCGAAGTCATCGGCGTTATCTAAAATAGGGCCAGCCAGTAACAGCAATATCGCTCAACAACCCATACAGCTTGTTGCGCTGCCTCCCAGATGAAGAGGACATATCTACAGTCACCCGCAAGGATTCTGGGATTGGCGCGGCATTATATTCATCTAGCCAAATTTGCTGGGCAGAAGCAATAGCAGGCGCGTGCCAGAACTCTTACCAATTCCGCTCAATTTATTTTTTTCGTTTCGAGGGATCGAGAACGAGGGCAGCGGCATACACAGGTGTCTGGTGTAGTACTTATTAAGGACAAACCAGCCCATATCGATGCAGTGTACCATGTGTGGATCATGGTTTTCCTTTAAACTATAAAGCGCCTAAATAAGACACTTAGTTGACCGATCAATTAGATAAAAGAAAAAACATCGCCACTGACCTTATACTTCTCGTACTGCCGCAATAAAACAACCATTATCGAGAGTAATTGGGGGAGAGTAGATTGCGCCCCTTCGGCCAACAACGTAACTGAGGCAAACGGGTGTAGGAAACGATGCGTCCGTCCAATAAAATCCCACTCCGAAGTCAGTAGGATATCGTCTTGAAGCTCTCTATCATGGCCAATTGGGAACTGTTTTACACGGGATTGATACTGCAGGAAATTATCCAACAATCGATACCATGAATTCCAGCGTGTGGCATTATCTATGCCTAGTCAGAGCTTTATTTCGTCGTCCCGCATAGCCGAATGAAGCGTAGATTTACGTATCCAGACCGCGATGTTGTGTACTTTCCGTAGGGGCACGATATGCTGCCATACAGTGAAGTTCTCAAGTATACGTTTGCCTCTTCAGGAGGCTCTTCTTCTCTGATGGGCCTCCTCTGTTCTTGTTGTCTGTCCGGCGTCATGCAAGGTGTCGTAGAACTGTGCAAATAACTGATAGTTTGTGGTATTATCGGCGGCATTAAGAGCGGCGATTAGTGCCTCTTTTGGAGATACGAGAAGAAATCCTTGAAGGGATAGGTTAATAATGTGGGCGATGCAGCGGATACGATGCGTAGAGAGATCAAACGTCAACTAGTAACCAATTAATCCTAATATAGAGATAAGGGAAGAGCGCCCCTATCAATTCTTAATGTGTCCCTCTTAATTGTCTTTAATAAATTACTGTTTACCCTTGGTACAGTAGGGACTGAGAGTCAACGCACTGTTAATGGTAGAAGCCCTCGGGAAAGGTGAGTAGGATGATGTTCAATTGGTCTAGGACCCCCTCGACACTTCGAATTGCCTACTATACACCCTACCATGCTGGGAGAGCTTACAGAGTACTGTTATAAGTCTGAAATCTAGACGTCAATTAACGCTGTCCAATGAGGCAGCAAGTATTTAACCTCTATAGTAACGAAATTGTTAAACCTTCAAGGTGCCAGTCTGCCCTCCCTTGATGCATTCATCAACCTCTCGTCCCTGGTTCAAGATGCTCTGCTCATTCGGAGGAATAAACTGCACGCATCTCCCAAATTGATCACATTCGCCCTCATCACGACCAACGGAACATGCGCTTCCTGCATTCCCAAAAACCGCACTTCCCGCTCCAGTAACGAAGTCGCTAAATCCGCCATTTTGACGACGAATCGAGGCTGCAAAGAGGGTTAGCATGGAGTCACAAACGAGGAATAGGGCCAGGGGAGGGCCAATCTTACCTGCATTAGCATGGCCTATCGTGAAGAAGGTAATAGTGAGGAAAAAGGTGGGGAGCTGCATGTTGATGAGGGTAGTTGTGTATAATAGCTGCGTGAAGTTGACGGGGAAGTAACGAGGCAATCGAGTGATGAGCAGTTGTAATATGTCTGGATCCTGTGATAAGCGTTTTAATCAGTGATTTCGAGTGCGCAGTTAGGTATCTTTATACTTGGTTCGTAGATATAACACAGAAGCGTTATATTCCTCTCTTCCCCAGTTATTTATGATACTCTTTAAGCAAAAGTGGCATCGCAGGCCTTGCGTCGCAAGATTCATTACAAGCTCTAACAGCCTGATTTGATTTAGGCTAGTAAAGCCATCACAGTTACACAGAGCGTTTCAGCCAAGCTGTTTGAGCTTGTTCCCTTCTTGACATAATGAGAACGAGGTGCGGCAGGTGGTAGCACTAACGTTTGGGTTGTTCCAGATCTAGAGTTAAGACGGCAGTGAAACAGCCCCTACATGGAAGAGGGCCTAAATGGCTGAGGGGCCCGGAAGGATACTGCGTTTTAGAACCCAGTTAGGGACCCGTTGCTTGTTAAGTCTTACGTAAAACTAGGCTGGTTTGTAAAAGGTAAGGTTTTTTTTAATAAAGTATAAACCCTTTTAAGAGTGAATTTTCACATTTTTAAAAGGAGCTCTAAGCTGAGCCTAGCTGGTAACAGCTTGTATTTAAGATATTTCAATACAAATATTACCTTGGTGCTTGCCTGAGTCTAAGTACTCATATGCCTGTCTAACCTCTTCAATTTAAACATCTTCTCGTCAATAATCGGTCGAAGCTTGTCTAGGTAACCCTCGATGGCTTGCATCATATCCTCCATCTCTGCTTTGGTCCCAACTCTAATACCTCGGGTGGTGCAGAGATGCAAGAGGTTCTAGAGATGGGTCGGAGCACCCTCTGTCACATCGTATGATTAAGGTCGCTCTGACACACGGGCTGTCTGACCAAGAAAGAGCAAACCTGGATAAAACAGGTCGTGAAGAACACTCCGTCATAGCAGACGAAAACGAGGGATCCAAGGAAGGATAAAACAAACCAACTTCAGCCACTCCTTCAGTTAGAAATCAGGAGTTTCAATGCATAGTCAAAATCCCTCGTCAAATGTGACATCAGGTATAAGGATTACCTTGACCTGATTAAATTTGTAGCTCTTCCTGGCCTTGCCGTCGTTGCCCTTATCCCGGGCCAATTCCTCATCAATATCACTGTGCTTGCGAGACGTGACTTTGGCTCCGTGGCCGTGGTTAGGGAGGCTACGGAGGTTTGACGAGGAGAATATGTTATCCATAAATACGTGATATATCGCTTCGGGCAGCAGATTTGCTAGGGCAACGACAACAGCTTGGGTCGAGTTCAACGCGATAGGTTTGTCTTCCTTAGCCAGGGCCTTTCCTGTGCTCTGAGATTGCTTGGATGTCTCTTTGGGCAAAACATCGATGCCAAGGGCGCCATAGGGCAGATCCCTAATATACCAAAGCTACCAAATAAAGAAGCCGCATTAGGCGATAACCTAGATCTTAAAACGTACTAGAATTAACTTTCTTTATATTTTTATATAAATAAATATATCTAGGTATATATAAATTTAAAAATAAAAGGCTAAAATAACTTTAATAATATTAAAGGTAAAATAGTTTATTTAGTAATTTAGCCAGGCAAGGTTTAAAATTAAACATTGGGTACTGTTGGATTAGTAATAGCGCCTCGGTAGAAGAAACATGTATTCAATACCGGGTGGCGGGGAAAACACCTGAAAGGACAGAACAGAGACAGAAGAAGAAGGAGGAGCTCCTGGGGACTAGATTGATCCTCAAGTGTGAAAATTAACCTCATTTTAATTGAACATCAACCCTATTCGCGTCTCCAACACGTACGAGTTGGAGGCTTATGAAGGTTTAGGAGATGGGGAAACTGTTTTTTTGCTAATCGGTAGGTGGGTACTGCATGGTACGTACTTGGCCTTTCATCCACTTTTAATAACTGCCTTATGCCTTAAGTGCCGCATAAGGCATCAATTGGATTATAAGGCAGACAACCTAGTATAAGGCATCCTCAGTTACGGATAATAGATACATCCTCTCACAGCATGTTTCTTCCAGAGGGTGATTTATCTATTTCTTGCTTCTCTGCGCATCCTCTACCATTCTTCCAAATCTTTCTTAAATCGTTTTTCATTTTACCACCCCCTCTTCTGTCAATCAATTTCCTCAGGACTATAACACGACGAATTCATTGCGAGCACCATCTCTTTCCTACTTCTGTAACTATCCATCAGACAAGATGGGTAACCCTACTCGCTCGCTTGCCATAGCAGCTCTCTTGATATTCATCACTCTATCCATACCCACAGCGCTTGCCGCCTACCGTCATGGCCTTCGCACTGTCGCAATCGTTGGATGGGGCTATCAGCTGTTCCTGACTTTATATTTAAACCCAACCATCCTACAAACGCTGAAAACGTGAGAGGATGACTCATCCACGTAGGAACAATAATCGAGCATGTTCGGCGTGCTGTGATGACACAGAATCGTAGTAACCCTAAGAGATGGAAGATAATTCCGGCCAAGCTTCTCAGCCTGGCCGTACCTGTGGCGGCTTACCCTCGTCATCAGTTTATACCTAGGTTAAGGAACAGCTTGAGGATTTTGAAATACTCAAACTTAATGATCAAATTGGCGACGAAGTTGATGGTGGGAGTGTTTCCCAGAGCCCAGACGACTCGGATAAGTCCTCGGAAACAGAGAGTTATTCGATTCCGATGAAGATATATAATTTACACCTCCACTTCATCTCTTTCCTTGCTCCCTCGAAGCTACCTGTGGCTGACACCCTTGCACGCCAGATTTATGTCAGCCCTGATAATAATCGATCTCGACTTCATCGTACAGGGGCTGCTGGACAGAGTTTATCTTGAAAGTATGTCAACCATAATGATCGCGCTAGATTTCCTCCTAAAAACTTTGCCAAACTGTATCGTAATCCCAATTAGGGTTTATAAATCGATCTCGCGACTAGTGGCTAAATGGTAAATTGGTCGCTTATCGAGACTTGATGTGTTTTCCATCGCGATATTGGCAACGCTGGGCGGTCAGGTTGAGATATTCCAGTACCCTGTCAGCTGCTGATTGTTGATGATTATGCTGTTATGAACCAACACCTTGTAACTGCTTTTTAGGGGTTGATTCTACCGGTACTTCTTAATTTTGCTTTTTCTCGGCCGTGCACGCCTGCGACCAGATTAGAAAGAGTTTATTAACATGATGTGCCACAATTGAGTTGGCAGACCCCCACTCACATACCAAGACAAATGGTTCCATCGTATATGTCAGCATTTTCACTTACCTTGGTTATGCCACCGAGCGCCTCGCAAGGCAATTATTAGTCAAGGTTCGCCCTGGTGACCTTGTCTACATTGCTTATTAATACATGACTCACCAATCAATCGAGTTGACAAACACGTTGGATGATTAAGCATTCTTAGTCGAAGCTGCGTGGAAGACGAACATAAGAAGTCCTACATCTACATCAATCGATCAATAATTTCGACGTTTCGACTTCATACTGCCCACAATGCCAGAAAACAAACAGCAGTCACCAAACGGCCCAACATCAGGGATGTGCCAGAAAATGGCTCCCTTAACCGACGCTGAATTCAAGGCTTACAATAGATTAGCTGAAAAAATGGAGAATTTTGTAAGCGAACGCCATCACGAGATTCACTATCATGTTTCTTGATTTCCCAACATAAGTTCTACTTAGCATGGTCATTTCAAGCGAACTTGGCGCTTTCTCGAGAAGGTTTGCGAAGCAGAAGACCTTCCGGATGGCATCCGATTGGTCGACTTGATCAACGAGGGCCTGTCATTCTGCATGTCTCTTGAGATGCATCATAATATTGAGGAGACATATTTTTTCCCATTGTTAGCTCGTAGGATGCGGGAGTTTCAAGTTGGCAACGAAAGCCCTTTGCTAGAACAGCACCGCGTCATACACAAGGGGCTGCAGGAGCTGAACAACTATTTATCCGTTTGCCGCACATCGCAGTCGCACTTTAATTGCAAATCGATGAAAAGTAAAATGAGCAGCTGGAGTGATGTGTTATGGGAGCATCTCGATGATGAGGTCCAAAGCCTAGGGGCGGAGAATATGCGGAGATACTGGACGGTAGATGAAATGAACCACATATATATGTAGTTACTTTCTTGGCCCCGGCTTTTCGCTTGCTTCATAGTTCTCTACTTCAATTACTCCTTTCTACAACATGAATTAGGTCTCAATGCTTACAGTCGCAATAATCATCGCTGCCAACATAATCCCCACCAGGAGTGGATGCGAAGCTGTCATCGAGAATCCTGATCTTCGCAGTCCTTGCCTTGTCCGAGTGTATCTAAAGTATGGCGGTATAACTTTCTATAACGCCCAGAGATCCACTGAAAGAAAGCCGCCTAACTTAAATACCCAACCTGAATAACGCGCCAGTGGTGCGATGCATTGATTTGTTTTGATTCATGCTCAACTTTAGGGTTACCATAACCCCTCTGTTGAGAAGACATCATGGTACAAGTAGACAAGTACTGATATAAAATTGTCTCACCGAGGACTCGGAGCTATTCTTCGAAGTCTTAAGTTCGTAACATCCAGTCGTTCAATGTTTGAGTGAGCATTAAGCATGAGTGGAAGAGGCTTTTGCAAAACCGATAATTGTGCTGGCATTGTTCCAGGGGAGTTGTATGCGTAATGTGAACGAAAAGCTAGTTATAGTTTTGCCCGCAACTTAACATTAGTTTTAGGGGAGAGGCGATGCATAGTGTGTATGGCATAGACATTGGTAGTTAGGTTGCATGATGTCTGTATGCTCGGGTGAGGTTCATTTCGTCATTCCACTTACGACTTTGCCAAAATGTTAATTGGCCCCTTCAACCCCTCAAAATTGCTAAGCAAACCTTGAAACCTTTTTGAGTCAGTATAATTGCCTTAGTTACGAGGGAGAGGGGTGTTGGAGGAGAAGGACTGGCGCCACCTTGTATCGGGCTTCCCGGTCGGTTTTTGGACTTTTCATCAAATTCCGAGATAGATCAATGGGGCTTTGATTACTAATACCGCCTTTGTCATACGCTTGCCCTGCTCTACCTATCATGTAGGTACCAATATAACTATATAAGTTTAGTAGCGTGTTCTCAGGGTAATGCCGTTTCATTCATCTTCTCCCACCTCATCAAAAAGAAAAGTCTATATTCTACAAAAGCCCGACAATCAGCATTCCAACCCAGCTTAAAGTCAAAACTTTTTTACCGTCGTCATGCCACAGCCTTTAAAGACCAATGACGGCTCTTCCCATGACGGAGGCGTTACTATTCATTGCGACGACCTCAAGTGGCTCCCCCTTGCACCCAAGATCTGGATCAAGCTTATCGAACTGTTTCCTGAGACGGGAGCCTATAATGTTCTTATCCGAGCTGAGCCTGGAGGTGTACTCCCACGACATCGACACATCGAGGGGGCAAAAATTTATGTAATCAAGGGCGACGGTTATCATCCTCAGGCCGGTCACTTTGTGAAGGGTGATTTCGTGACTGAGTACCGTGGTGCCACTCACTACCAGCTACCCTTCCATGTTGAGACCGAAATGTTGATGATTAGCGATGGCGCCTCTGTGTTCATTGATGACGACGGGAACGATTTGTATAGGATGGATATTCCAATGCTTCAAGCTCTTGAAAAGGCGGCAGCCGCCTGATGATGCAGGCATGAGACAATGTGTAACGATGCCCAGTTCATTGCCACTGGGTTTTGCAACTGTCGCGTTATCGATATCGGTATGGCGTGCTAGGATACGAAATGAAGACATACAGTTCGAAGTTCGGTTGTCACGAGAATGATGTGATGTTCCCTCCTGTGCTTATACGTCTGTGCTCAAGGAAAGGCGATAGTATCGAGAATAAAGGAATAAACGGAGCAAATGGATACACACATTTATGCAAATATGTACGGATACGTCGAATTCTCTCATCTTGCTCTCGCTTTCGTTGTTTTGCCTGATAAGGATCTTTAGGATTATTATCTCAGGCAGCCTGGCACGACTACCCAAATGAGAATCACGCAACTTGTAGCGTTTAGTATCGTCAGGAGCCTGCATGTTAGCTTAATGTAGGCATAGTATAATAGCTTGGCTATTAAGAGTGGCCGAGATGCGTTGGAAAGTATGGTTTATTAACCCTTGCGATATTTATGGTCTGTCTTTCTGGCTCCTAAAAACCATTCTAATTTCCTAAGAAAAATAGCTCCTACTAAGTGCGTATTTAAGGATAAGAAAACCCTTTTTATATTACTATTTTTTTATTTTTATTTATTTATTTTAAGTTTATAAGTTAGCCTTAAAAGGTATATCTAAGTATCTCTAGAATCTAATATAGTTTAAATATTTATTACCCCTATAGCTGGCAAAGCTTTATTAAGTCAAATTATTATAGTTAGCTGCCTCAATTGCAGCCTAAACCTAGCTGCATATATGCCAGCTAAAAAGCCTTACCTACTCATCAGCTGGCCCCGACCTTCTTCCTACAACCCACCTGAAAGGTCTTTGACCTCTGCTGCATACCACGCTTCAATTATCCATCACTCAGTAAGTCATCTAACCCGACTTCTGACCGCAACCGCTACTATACCATGACCGAGGACGTTCCCGTTTATTCCGCCGCTCTCCTTCTCGACCCTTCGAAATGAGACGCCTACATTAAGCAGAACCAGCCGGATAGGTAGCACGACAACGAAATTAGCAAAGTACAAGAGATTTAGGAGAATGAATATAACATTAAGGTTCCTACTAAGCCTCCGACCGCTCCGAGCGCTGTCGCGGATATTGTGGAACAAGAGTAATAAACTAGCTTAGTTGGCGAGGAATATGAAGATAAAGACCGCCGTGTTGCGTTCTGAGGATGATTTCATGACCTTTATTACCGCTCAGCCGATAGAGATCGATTCTACGATGCTTCAATGGTGGTGCGCATCTGAGCAGCAGAGAAGATATCCACGACTTAGCCGAATAGCCATCGCGATACTCTCTATCTCACCAGAGTTATCCGAGCTAGAGAGAGCCTTCTCTGGGGCACGCAGGACATGCTCATGGGATAGGCTGCGGATTAAATATGTAAACATTAGGAGGGTAGAGTATATAGGGAGTTGGCTGCGCGAAGGCCATATTATACCTATACCCCGAGGTAGATTTAGGTTACTGATAATGTTTTCTGCAGTAAAAGATGATCTTACTGATTCAGATGACGATTTAGAAGACAGAGAGGATATTAATTAATATAGAATAGAGCCGATAAATTAATTGTTTGATTTCATCGCCTCATTGGCTTACTATCGTGTTCCTTATCCTGTTATCCTGTAATCTGCATTTTTTCTTATCCTGTTCTGTTTAACATGTTAACGAATTTCTTAACATGTTATACAGGTTGCCCATATATGATTATTACCCTCAACACCCCGGATACCAGGTCACTAGCCCCTCTCACTCAACAGCAGCGCATCAGCCTCAGATTACATATCAACATGCAGATCCCCAGGTACAGCCCAGCCATAACAAGTCCGCATTAAGCAGCTGACCAACAGACAGACTGGATGGGTTAAATTGCTCCATATGAATGCATCTCCCACCATAGGTTGACTTCACAGGATGCTGTATAGGTCGAGCTTATTATGGCAAGGCTTACCATTTGGTTTGTAAAACCTCATGAAATTATTTTGGAATTGATGCGAAGCCTCTTGCTTATCCCGGATATTGTAAAAAGTCATAGAGTGTAGTCATAATACATTCATGAAATCATAACCTAGATAATCGCAATAAACAGAATCGAGGAATAACTCAGAAGATTCGTTCCGTCCTGTGGGCCCCTGGGCCATGTTACAGCGGAATTACGCAATCTTGGGCTTATCGTTAGGTTGCCTGTTGTATCGCTTGGATATAAGATGGCTTAGCGGCTCTCTAACTGCATACAAGCCACTCAACGCTTACGTTATGGGCTCCACAAGACGGCACGAACTCTGTAAGTAAAGACAGTGTTGTTTGCAAGTGGGATATAAGAAACTAAATGCCGTAATGCTGCCCAATTGACCAGCTACATTAGCTACCTAGAGACTAAATACAATAAAGAATCAAAAGGCCTTTAGCCCAGTCTGTTTGTTTGTTGGACTCACTTATGCGTAGATTAACACAGACTTTATTAGATGTCACCGGACGAGAAGTGAGACAGGCGCTGATTCTTACCGCCAGCTCGATGCCGGTTCAGTTTTGAGCAGCAGCTGCTCAGGATAGTGGATGGGTAATGTAGTAGTACAAGTTCACATTTAAAACATTTACGAGTGTACATAACCGGAACGCTCCCCTTCAAACGTTTTATATCCTTGACTCAAGCCTTCCCCTAGACCGCAGCTTTGTAAAGGTCCTTAACAACACCTCGAAGTAGTTCGTCAGACTTGTCAGGATCGTTGAAGCTTGCCCACGGCACAACTCCGTTGTTAGCACGAAGCTCCTTGTCAAGATGATATAAGCCGTGACCAGCCTGCTTGCTGATACGGACACACTGCTGCAGCAAGTCGCCCAAGTCCTTGACATGGCGCGTCTCCTTGCGCAAGAAGCGACTCTCAATGACATCTTCCAGTGCGTTGTCACCGGCCTTCTCTGCAGCGGCACATAGACGGTGAAGATCTTCGAGAATTTCCTTCTCAGTCTGCAGGGCCGCATAGACGGGCTGGACGGGATCGACAGGGTCATCAGGCCACTCAATATCGGGCGCAGGGATGTCACTTGGCTTGGATCGGCCACCACGCTGGACGAGATACGACTCTAGCCAGGTTGCATCAGCAAAAGCCTCTTGGGCGGATCGCTTCCAAAGCCTGTAAATGACATTAGTCACGACTATATAAAACTACCAGCGGCATGTATACACTTACGCTGCAAAGCCGTGCAGTGAAACATTGGAGCGCAAGCAGTCAGCTCCAAGCTTGCGAAAGAAGAATCAGGCCTTGTACTCGGTTTGGATATGTTGACGAATAGCCTACAAGTATTAACAAATTGCTAGGTATTAGGGTCTTGAAAGAATAATATTACATTTTGGATGTCATCAGTAAACGTAGATGCCTGGATGTGAGCATCGATGTTCTCCGCGGAAAACTTCTTGAGGTCCTCCTGTACCTTGTCAGTATTTGAGCCTGACATTGTAGCAGCACAGTTAAGGCTCTTTCGATATTAGGGGCAATTTGAAATAATGTATGAGTTGATTGAGTCGGACGTTCGATATTATTACTCCCCGCTGTAACGAGGGCGCACTGGTCCATAGATATAGCCCTCGAGTGTTTCAATTACACCTTCACTCAAACATAGCTACCCGGAGTGTTTGCTCCGTGCGGGGGTGTAATGTTAATCGCTGCGCAATTGTACGTCTAATTAATTAGAGATGCGGTGAAGGTGATGCGATCCTGCACCAAGGGCTTCCAACCTTGCGGACTGCCTTCCCCGCACCAGACTACAAACGTGTCGATGATGACGATAATTACAATAATGAGCTTATGAAACACTGAGACCTGCAGCAGCTTCACCCAATCTACTGTTTCCGTTACAGCCACCCCTGCACGAAGCGGAAAAGCGTATGCTGTCAATACCAATGAGTAGGGTTTGTGCATCGTTGATTGTTATAAAATCTTCTGGCGCTGCTGACGTTCCGGCACGTTCGCATATGATGCAATATCTTTATGGCACTGTTTGTCAACACCCTCACTGCAAATTAATTGGGAGATTATCACGTTATTTCCCTGCAATTGTTGCACATCGCATTCCTATCTACAATCGAGTAAGTGAACTCGGTGAAGGTGCAAGTAATCGCTGGCTCCACCCTGAGGTCAGCGACGAATTTGCATACTGCCTCATGGAAAACAACATACAGATCAAGGGCGCTGCACCCCCAGTGCGAAACCGATATTGACAGACGAATTCGGAGACCATACGCCGGTCTACGAGGTAACGGACGAACTCAGAGAGTGGTATGCCACGGTGAACCGATTCCTGGTTTGTCACAAGCGTGGATCGAGATCTGTCATTGGCCCTACTGCGTCCTTGTACAAGTGGCACTTGGGAAGTACAAGAGACATATACCAGAGAGATATCTATAAAATCTTTAGATTTCTTGAGGTATCGCAAGACCTAGAACTAGAATATAAGAGAGAACGAAAATGCATCATCGGCTACGCTAATTTAGACTAGACAGGAGATCTAGAGGATTAATTAACATTAGGATATATGTTCAATCTAAGATTTGCAAGTATATAAAACGCAGAAGTTGTATATCTCTGGTACAATCATCAAACGCATATCATTAACCCCACAGTTTAAGCAATATACTCTTGCTAATATAGTAAGTAATATTAAGCTTAACCTTGATTACACATTACAGCTATCTTATGTAAGTATTAGTGCTGTCGGCTGCAGTGAGATGACATATATAACTATTAGCCTATCCGGTCTCATTGAGCTTTGAGTTAGGGAACTCAAAGTACATCATAAGGAATACGGGGGATCAGCTCCGTAGACTCCATAAGCAGGCACAAACTATGTAAGAGGCTCAAGCCACAGAAGTCGACATGGCATTCGAATCCTGTTTTATTAAGTTAAAAATAGCGTGTATCAGGCTTGAACAAGCTTCGCGGAGTGTTTACTCAAGAATGACGAAGGCGTTATGACCGCTGGCTGATGTCACAAACCACATCGTCATGGTCTCCTCAGCAGACGTGAACATGACGCATCCCATTTAGTCGATATTCTAAAGAATGTGAATATGACTCTTCCTCTTCAAGACCAAATAATATATGCCAGATCAAACCATTGTATGGGTTTACTTGTCAACCCAAGAAACCAACTCTAGCCAAGTCTTTCAGACGGGCATTCGTCCGTAATAATACCATCATGAGTGCACCAGCCGTTATCATCATGCCTGTCCAGGCCAACGGTGCTCAGCAATCCGAACAAGACCCTTCCAAGTGTAAGGCCTGACAGGTCAATAAAAAGTACCATCCGTTAAGCTGATTGCCCATACTGTCTATCTCTAGTGGCTTCCGCAATTCAGCAAACCCTCGAAGAAAATATGTTCCCAAACGGCCGGAACCTACAAGGGGAGAGAGGACCGTTAAAGGAGCTCATAGGTAAGATACCTATGAAAAACAACATCAAGGAGGCAGGAGAGTATCGCTCTAATAAGTTCGGTCCAACAGCTCACCAAGGCAGCCTCTACAAGTACATCAATGTATGTTTTTGGTATGCACTCACTAACTACGAACATAATTGCTTATATGTGTCTGTAGTGGGAGGATCCAGTTCGGACCCTCGGGTCATACCTCGTTGCTCTGAGCATCCTGATTGGAACACACTACCTGCCTCTTACCCAAATAACGGTAAAGGTTGGAGCCGTTGTTTTTGGAAGTATGTAATATTTTGACTGCATATGACTCTGAAGATGAACACAAATTGACTCTGTCCCAACAGTAATCTCTCTCGCTAGATTCGTCAGCCGAACATTCGGCTCCGACACCTTTCTCTCCCGTCTTCGACCCAAGGAGTACAAGATGGTCCCAGAGCCCATCCTCAATGCCACACTAAGAGACATTCATGACTTTATCCAGTATGCTGTCGTCCAAGTACAGAAGATTATCTTTGGAGAAGACCTGGGCAAAACCTTTGCCGTATGTTATAACTCAAGATACTGCTCAACGGTGTAGGCAAAACTCCCAAACTAACATTGGGACAGGCTTCCCTCGCCTTCACCGCCGTGTTCTGGCTAATGAAAGTTGCATCTCCGTTTTCGTTAGCCGTGCTGGGATTGAGCTCGCTCTACATCGCTCCCCTCATTAACTCGCCCCAGGGACGTACTATAGCCCAGGATGCAACGGCGCGTAGCCAAGAGCTGGCTAGCGCAGCCACTGAGAAAGGAAACACACTTGCTGGAGATAGCAAAGCCAAGGCAACGGAGATAACTTCCAAGGCGCGTGAGGCCGCTGGAGGTGTGCAACAGCGCGTTAAGAACCTGGTTCACAACGGAAAGCAAACCGTCAACGAGCTTTCTACTCAGGCCAGTGATCGTGTCACAGATGTATCTCGTGCCACCACTGAAAATGATGAAAGTCTGAAGGACATAGGCATCGACGCGATCAGCTAGGCTCCAAGCATCGCAAAGCGGAACTCGGGTGACGTAGAGCAGTACGCCCTTGACAGGGGCTATGGTGACTATAGATACAACACCCGTGGGGAAGAAAACAATGCCTCACAATTCTCGACTGGTATTGATGACACCCCGAGACACCGCCGACAGAGCCCACTACCCCAGCACTCTCTTGGAGAACCAGGATAATATGGCACCTTCTATGTCAAACTAGACTACAGGCAAGCAGATTGGATCTGTTCCTAATACGCACCCAAGTACTAGGTAGCAGGCGATGCAGCTGCAGAGCATTTTAAACAGGTCTTAAGTACTATTACTGCCACAGACCCTGGACCAAGACACAGTGACTAGTGAATGGGACGATTCTATAGGCTTATTAGCATGGAAATTCCAGCTATGTATAGATATCTGGTTCTCTTCTATCTATGAATAGCTCAGAAGTTTAAAAGCGATATCGTCTGCCCGCTTGTCTAGCTTCATCGCCCTTATGTCAATAAGCAACTAATCACTACATCTTTAAGGCTTTAACCCCTATCAACAACCTGCATGTGTTTAACAGGCGCTTCGCCAAGCAAAGCATGTAGCTATTTGCTCGGTGTCGGGCCTGACAGCATGTCTTCTGCATATTAATTACCTACTACTATCTCATAATCCAAATACTCTCTAGATCGCGACAATACCGCAGGGCGTAGGTCATTCTTGTGACCTCCCAGGACCTCTCGAGGTCTTCCTTCACCACCAGTCGATCTTCAGGTGCAGAAAGGAATATCCCCAAGGTATATGCTGGCCAATTACCCGCATATGATCTGGCCCATTCTAGGCTGCCTTGATGGTTGTTGAGAATTCGTAGGAACAGTCTAATCTGCCACTTGTCCCTGGATACCTCCAATGGTAGAGTCCCTCCACTTCCAGGCTCATTAATCTGTTCAAGTAGTAGGGAGGCAATTATCGCATACAAGTATGTTTCATCCCTGGTTGTTGAGCTACCTTTCCTTATTGCTGTATCGGTGGAGCTGTAAATAGACTCGAAGTCTGGATCACAGAGTTGTGCCTCCCAAACTTGAACCTCATTTCGGATCTTTTGGAGAACTGCAGGATCCAGACTCGTCCCTGAGCGGTAGCATTCCCGTAAGACTATCGTGTTGCGAAAGAAAGACAAGGGTACCCCTAAGATAGGGCTTTCAAGATTCCAAGGTGTTCCTGAAAGGAGTTTAGATCTATCGAGAAGCTTCTCAACACTGTCCCAGAAATATGGGTTGAACACAAAGTCACCTCGACTGCTTTCTGACCATAGGCCTGTTGAGAGTAAGAACTGCTGGTAGATGACACTTTCAAGGGCGAGTCTGTCGAATAGTCGTTGAATGCCAACTGGCCTGTCAAGAAGTCTCAAAGTGACTATACGAGTCGCAGCATTGACGTGCTGTGTAACGTCACTATGCGTGCCCCATCCTAAGCACTTTTGCTGTCAGTGATTGACTTCATACCATAATCGCGAGGGGACATACCCCGTGGAGATAAAGCAGCATCACAGACATAAGGAGCGCGTCGTGGTTCTCATATTGAGAAACTTTGCTAAGCAAAAGCTGAAGTTCTTTCACCCCTTCAGCATAATAGGATAAAGCAATAGGATGCATTTCCCACGTGGAGTCGCTGAGAAATATGTGTGATGCAGCACAAGCCAAGACTGAGTAGTATAAGCTCTTGTGAGTCAGCATAAGCTGCTTGATTTCAGTAAGCCAGCCATCGTGGAATCCGCGGTAGCAGTCCGGTAGCAGTAGGAGGGAAAAGTATTTGTCAGAGAAGTGTTCTGAGATGCGGAGCTCTAGGTGGTTAGAGAGCACGCTGTGCACCGTAGCGGCTTGCGATAAGAGGTCCAGTGGACAGACAGAATCCGTGTCATAAATATTGGAAGGACTGTAGGAAGAGAGAGCACGTTGTACGGGGTGATTGCTGCTGCTGGGTATCAAGGAATTCCCAACGTCATCTTCGGGTTGTTGTAGCTGTTCTTTCAGACTCCGATCTTGGTGCCGTGAATCGCAGTGGTGGGAGTAACGACGATCGAGTAAATCACTTGGTGATGGCCATATACATCTTCGCCCAGAAGAACGGCACAAGTCGCAGATTGGGGAGTTTTCGTCGCATTTCTTGCGTCTTTGTCTACCTGGTTACCAAATGTTAGCAACACGATGGACCGCATACTGTAGGCTTACATGTAAAGCAACCAGTCTTTGTGCGTAACTTTCTCCGGGAAGCACTGTTGGTAATTTTGTCGTTCATCATTGCATCTTTCGTCGGGAGACATTGGCTGAGAAATCAAGGACGGGGACTTTTGTGTAGTTTAGGGGTTTGTTGGAGTCGGCACTGGGGAAGAGAGCTTCAAACGCTATTTGAACCTAACGTTGGCGTGTGACCAGGGACATCTTGTCCTAAACGGGTTACTCAGTTCCTGGCAGCGTTATCTGGGGCTGATCATCTCCAACATCACTGGACGATAGCTTCTTGGTGGAGTCCTCAAGATGCGGGGTTAACATGGGTGGTTATCCTGCCAAACCCTTGGCACAACGATAGCCGATATCAAGATCCCATTCGTCCAATCAGTTCCTCGTTGCATATCTTGCTGGACTGGATGATGTTATCAAGACAACAATAAGACTTATCAACGTTGGGTGGAAGCAACTGGAAAGAAAATAGCGGAAATAAGGAGTTGTTAAAATACGCGTCTGAGGAGCTAGATCATATCTTTAGTCCTACATCAATTGAGAGTTACATCTTGTGTTCTTCTAGATACTCTTAAATGCCAATATTTGCAGGCTTACGGCAATTCTCATCCTCCATTACACTCCATTAAGCAAATACCATCGCCATCCAACAATCAGTGGCTTGCTTGACCATCCTCAGCCAGCTGATAATATTTCTCAGCACTACGAGTTCTGAACATCTTGCCATAAACCATCATAATGAAAAACACAGAGGAGGCTGCCATTCCGACAAAGGCAGCTGAAATGAAGCAGTTTTGGTAGCCGAGATGAGTTATCCAAGGGGTAATGCTACTCAAGTTGTTAGCAACTATTGACAGGATCCCGTTTAAAGAAGGCTTACCCATAGCTAATTGCAAATGACATGGTGTTGCGAATCAGAATGACAGTAACAATCGCATCGCCACTGATGCCATGATAACTATCGATGAGATAGTTGACGCTGAGAGTGACACCCACGGCGCTAGTGAAGGCAAGACATCCCATTGCAAACACAAGTCCAAACCAATGGATTCCATGTTGAGCTCCAACGCCCCAGAGGATCAGTGCAGAAGGTACCATGACGACACAGATGGAGAAGGGCCAAAGGCGGCTTTCAGCTTCCATAATGCCACCATTGCGACGGGCAAGCTTGATGGTCAGAATATCACTGAGTCTGCCAGAAACGACGGCTCCAATGACGACACCAACGCAACACGCAAGATAGCTCAAGCCTACCATGGATGAACTAAAGTTGTAGGGCTCTCCTGAAAGAATCAGTGAGGCTGTGGCGTTGAGGACATTGAACCAGATGAGGTATGAACCGTAAGAGAAACCGGCATAGAAGATAACAGGCCAGGTCAAATACTTCAATGATCGCCATGATCGTGTGAGCATGCCATGTCCCGGTGATGGCTGCCAAAGTGACATCTTCTGGATGAAGGTTTTGGGGGTATTGTAAACCTCGCCATTCTCCGCAGCGGGCGTGTCTGCAACTACAGAGTCACTCTTTTCGTTTCTGTTCTCACTCTTGGAGAAAGAAACCTCAGGAATGACCTCAGAAACGGGTTCCCGGATATAATTCGTCTCCTCCATAAAGAGGAAGAGGAAGACAAATACAGCCGCCAAGAAGATAGCTGGCCAGTAAAAGACCCACTGCCAGCCTTGGTGATCGGCAATGAAGCCGCAAACAACTGGGGCAAAATAATTGCTGCCAGCGAGGGCAAACGAATAAATTCCCATGTATGTACCGCGCTCGTGGGTGAAGTACTAAGCGCGTAAGCAGAGGCATTGGTTAATAGCTTGGGCACTTACAATATCGGTCACTGAGATCTCAGGAAGGGCTTCAATGGGAGAAATGAAGAAGCCCTGAATGATGCACTTTGCCAGCCACTCGCCATTACTTCTGACATATGCACTGAAAGGCCGTTAGAAAAAGGATAGACATCAGGTTCAAGATGAGAGACTGACCTCCAAATACTGGTGCCCTAAACAATGATGTGTCAGAAATGTATACGAGGCTTACGCGGCAGGTTACTTACTATTGCACCAAGGATAGAGATGAGATACGTCAAGCGTTTGCCATAGCGCAAAGAGAAAGGCTGCCAGAAAAGAAGACTCCAGCCAAGAAAAAGAAACATGTAGCCTGTTCCTTCATTGAGAGTTGCGATGGAAACGCCAGATTGAGCAGAGAGGGGTACGAGGACTGAATAGACGGTAGATACCGCGAAGCCTGCGAACCATGTGTATCTACATATCGTTAATGGTCGTATAACATGATGAAATGCACTTAATGACGTACAGGTTCTGACATATCAGTGAGAGTAATTTGCGACGGGGAGTCCAGTTTAAGGGGTCATTGGGGTCTTTGGATGGAGTCGGGTTGAGGACAATGTCGGCAGATGAACTGGCATGACGAGCATGCATGTCATGGTCCAGATCCACAAGGTGGACAGTACCAGGGATACTGATGGATTCGGTCATTGTTGGGCTGGTGGGGAGGCAGAAAAAGAAAGAAGCGGACTGGGAAAGTCTGATGGATGCAGGCGGACCAGATCGACAAAGATTCGTTGAGGCCTGCCAATATATACCCATCACTTGACTGTCTACCAAGCAAAAGATGATATGGCTGATATGATGAAGCTGTGAATACCGATAGCTAGGTAGTTATCTCGTTTCCGAGACTCGCTTCCCCGCTAATGCTAATCAGGAGGGGGCGGATAAGCTAGTGATACATCCATGCAACATGATGGCGCAAATACACATGAATGGTCAGTCTTATCATCCATGTGGGACGCGGGCTTGAACTAAATTAGACCCTCGACTCTGCCCAATGATATGTATTTGCGACAGATCATCGCGTCGACCTACCCTAAGAGACAAGGAATGCAATTCCGAAGCTCAGAGTGAAGGTCAAGGGCGGGCGAGAGGAATCAGATAATGACCCCGGTTTGATAGTAAGTAGTATTAATACTTGAAGTTATCTTTCGACTCATCTGATGTGTCTGTGTCTTTACTTTTCAGGCTGATCATATTCGAATACCTCAGTGTTTATCTGTCACTTTTATCATATCAACTATGAGTCTTGTTTCAACATCTCCACTTCCACTTCCCCAGCCACAAGTCACTATCAAAGATGCGTCTCTTGTGCAAGTGAGATTTGCAGATGATACAGAGCTTGTCTCTTCATTCACTGTTCAGCCAAAGCCAGTCCCTCGCGGAACACCTGCCTTTGAAGCCAAGCGGGCTGCTCTTATCGACACCATCAAGACCAAAATACCTTTGGAGTACTATCTGCCTGCCGAATTGATTGCCAATCCTCCTCTAGATGTTTCCAAAATCCCTGCTTCTTGCGGCATCCTCACTGAAGACGAAGTTCGCATCACAGAAGACTACGATGCAGTTAGTCTACTGCAGGCACTTGCTAGCCGCCAACTTTCAGCTGTTGCAGTCGCCACTGCTTTTGCCAAACGTTCTATCATCGCACATCAACTCACCTGTTGCCTAACGCAGTGGCTTATGGATGAAGCCATTGCCCAGGCAAGAGGACTAGACGAATACATGGCTAAGCACGGGAAACCCATTGGTCCTTTGCATGGACTGCCAATCAGCATCAAAGAACACATGGCTATAGCTGGGACCCTGTCTTCCCAGGGTTGTCTCGCAAGCTTGAGAGAGGATACAAAAGACAGTGACATGGTTGCAATTCTGAGAAGTCTCGGCGCTGTCTTTTATTGCAAGACCAATCAGCCCCAAACCATCATGCACCTAGAAACTGATTCCCTTTGGGGTCGCACTCTCAACCCTTTCAACATCAACCTCTCGGCAGGTGGATCGACCGGCGGTGAAGCAGCCCTCATTGCAATGAAAGGTTCTGTTCTCGGCATTGGTACTGATATCGGCGGTAGTATCCGTGGTCCCGCAGCCTTTTGCGGCATTTATGGATTCAAGCCAACTTCATACACAATGCCCATGAGAGGTTTCGATGCAATGCCGTTCCCAGCTGAGTTGACCGTTCTGGCCTCAGCTGGCCCTATGTGCCGAAGCTTGAGAGACATGGACTTGTTGATGCAGTGCGTTTTGTCATCCAAACCCCATTTAAAGGACCCGAGATTGGTCCCTATCCCTTGGAAAGGCCTCAAGACTCCTATCAATGGTCGTTTGAAGATCGGCTTTGTCAACAACGATGGATTTATCATCCCTCAACCTCCAGTTGTGAAGGCTCTGGCGTGGGCACGAGAGCAGCTCCGTGATTCAAGATACAGTGAACTTATTGAGCTCAAGGAGTTCAAGGTATTTGACTCGGCAGGTGCTTGGTCCAAGATTCGACGTATGTATTGGCCCGATGGTGGAAAGCCAACAAGAGACGCCATTCAAGCTACGGGAGAGCCGATCCATCCTCTGAGTGAGTGGATCTGGAAGGATGCAGAGCCACTTGGTATGAAGACAGCTGTTGACTTGAGTCTCATGCGTCGGGAGAGAGATGAATTTCGCTGGGCATTTGCAAAGAGCTGGGAAGATCAAGACGTGGATATACTCATTGGACCTGCATTCATCGGACCCGCATCAGCTCACGATACAGCATTCTTCTGGAACTATACGTCGCTGTATAACCTTGTGGATTATCCTGGTGTTGTGATCCCTACACCTGTCAAGGTGGAGGGGAGTGAGAAGTATTCTGGTGGATATGAGCCGTTGAGTGAGGCTTGTGGACAGGTGAAGAAGATGTGGGAAAAGTCGGACTTTACTGGCGCTCCGATTAATCTTCAGATCGTTGCGAGGAAGTACCATGACAACGAGTTGTTTGGGGCGCTGACGGTGTTGAAGGATGTATTGAAGCTGCAGTAGTTATATGTGTAACCCTGATTAATTGCATTCATGTACCAGAACGAACCCTGTTTATCTTATCTCTGTATACACTGAGACCATTTGGCGTACACAGACGAGCATAGAAGCAAGACAAGTGACGATTAGGATGAGACGTCATACCTCGGGCCAAGGCTACGGTTAAAGTTAGAGCTAGTGGTGTACCATACCGCGGATGACGAATCATCTCTGGCGCTTTTAGTTGAGCTTCGACAATTGAAGATTAGCTTCCGAGTGCTTCTGTCGATCATTATGTGCTTGAGAGGGTGAATCATCGACTGAACAAGCGTTGCCATTACAGGAACCTTGATAAATAGCCTGATACAACTTGATAAATCGCCAGATTAGTTTGTCTGTGACACAATTTGAATTAACAAAAACGACAATATGGCAGCCGCACTTAATATTATACGCCAGAGCTTATTTGCTGGCAGCCCAAGATTTACAGAAAATGATTTACCCGATCTTAAGGGCAAAGTACGTCGCCATCCGTCATCACCACCAGAAGTCTTGCTGACATTTGCTTTCCAAATTCTAGGTAATTGCTATCACAGGGTCAAACACTGGCGTTGGGAAAGAAATTGCCAAGATGGTCTACAGCAAGAATGCAAAGGTCTACTTGTTCGCACGTACAGCAACAAAAAATGAAAGGGCTCGTGACGAGATCAAAGCTGCCTTCCCAGAGTCACGAGGCGAATTGATATGCATTCAACTCGATCTCGCCGACCTCGATAGTGTTAAAGCAGCGGCTGCAGAGTTCGTCAACAGGGAAGATAAGCTTCACGTTCTTTTTAACAATGCAGGCGTTGGCTTCCCTGAGTACTGCTCCAAGACCAAACAAGGATACGAACTCCAATTAGGAGTCAACTGTCTCGGTAGCTTTGCTCTGACCGAGAGATTGACACCGGTATTGGTCGATACTGCAAAGACATCTTCACCAGGGACTGTTCGCGTGGTTTGGGCATCGTCAACTGCTGCCTTCTGGACTTCCACGAAGAAGTACATAGAACGAGTCAAAACCACCAACAAGCAGAGCTTATTTCAGCAATATGCGATTAGTAAGCTTGGAAACTACTACCATGCCACAGAATATGCTGCACGCTATAAAAACGATGGTATCATCTCTGTGCCGCTCAACCCCGGCAATCTTGACTCGGAGCTTTGGCGCACCCAGGGTAAAATTCTGACTTGGATTCTTCGAAAAACTGTTTTCTATCCTCCGCGCTACGGCGGGTACGTTAATATTTTTGCCGGTTTCTCTCCTGAAGTGACTCTCGAGAACTCGGGCAGATTCAGTAAGTGTCCTTTTACCGTCCCAAGAGAAGCTTTCTTGTGAATTCACTAACCTAACGGCCTCGTAGTTTCACCGTGGGGAAGGTTATGGCATGCACTTCCAGCTATGGTAAAAGGATCAAAGACAGAGGCTGAAGGGGGAACTGGCCATGCGAAACGGTTCTGGGAGTGGACTGAGGAACAAGTCTCACAAAATGCGACTGCCAAAGAGCCCCTTGGGTAGTGGTTGTCGAAGAGGGCAAACATAAGGTAATTTGTTATTTTTTGGCAATGATTTCTGGCCGCCGTTGTTCAGAGTTGGTAAGACTTGAAGTTATACTTACATATATCAAGCCAAAAGCATGAGTCAGTTTAGTTGTATTCAGTGGATCTCCAGTGGTTGTTTACTCTCCCTAAGGAAATAATGCAATTGGCGGACTAGTGTCCCTGATCTCATATATTTCTCTGTCATCTATACAGACAGTCACTTACGTAGTTCACTAAGAATTGTTTTACAAGCGAGGGACAATGTGGTGTTTTTAGCTGGAGCCCACTCAACAAGCTCAAGATACTAGATACTCCACGCCCGGTGCTATAACGTAAAGCTTTCCATTCCTTACTAAACTCTACCTACCCATCACAACATCCTTTAATTTAATCTCCCATACTAATACACTGATATATTGTCAACTTGACTTACCGTTAGAAAGTAATAAAAAGTGGCACTCAAGACTTGCTTATGTGTTACGTCGTATTTACTCCCTCAGCATCGTGAGGTGAGCGTTAAGGCGGCTATCATCCCGATAAAAGTTTGTTAGGGCTGAAGATTCTTTTAACCCCTCAACCTTATGATCTTATCACAGAAAGGTTCTTCGTCAGTGAGCTGTCATCCGGTATCTTTGTTCAAGTCCTCTGACCTACGAATCGCTGCAGAGCCTCCTTAATCAGACAAAGGCAGTTGCAAAGAAACAACAGGCAAGACACCTTAAAGAACAAGTTTATGAAGTGCCCGAAAAGAAGATTAGGAGACGCAAAGGCATACATGAAGCAGAGCCCAGTAATAAAGCCCAACCAAAGGTTCATACTGAAGATTGAGGATCTTCGATCTCTGTATTAATAAGCTGCTAGTGACCGAAATACCTATGCAGCTGAATGAAACAGGTAGAATAGAAATACGATGCAGCCCACTGGAATAATACAGTAAAACACGACGGTGTAGAAGAAATCCAGGAGAACTCGGAAGTACTTGAGGATGGTGACGCAGAAGGAAAGACAATAGAGAATGACAAATACCCAGATCAAGAAGAAACAAATGGGAAAGACCTCACGTGTCATGTTATTCATGACCGGTGGATGGTATGAAGGTGGAGATACTTAACTGAAGTTCTGTGCTGGTTGGTGCTGATAGCCGTGATTGTTGATGTGGTGGGTAGTCTTACATCTCGACGCCTTTATATACTTTCCAGTCAATTGACTTACAAGTGACTGTTCGACTTTTTTATCTTGAGCTTTTGGGCACATATCTAGAACATTTAAACAGATGCCTCGAACAAAGAGACGTTGTTGAGCTCTGACTCTTGCGCCAAATCGGTGGGCGAATACATTACAGACGTTAAATAATATTCTTATATTTCATAACACTTCGTATGGTTTCCAGATCATGTTGCAGTTGTATAGACGAACTCAGAACATGTATGAGAACAAGTGCTATGAACACTTGATCTCGGGGCCGGTACGCAGAAATGAGCTACCGCAGAACTTAAAAACAAGGGACACAAGGTATATATCTGCTCTTGGTGTAAGTAAATGCAGCTCTGAGGAACTAACTATCTGTCCATTTATTATTTGTAAATAAGCGAGTATGCCTGGTGGCATGGCTAAATTAATTAAAGCCTGATCTAGAGTTTAATAAAGGGAGAGAGTATAGCTAGGGTTACTAATAAATAAATAATATACTATTAGGATTATAATCTAAGAATATTACAAAGAAAGAGATTAAGTATATTAGTATATTTATAATATTAGGAAGTACTTACTAATAAATATAAACTTATAACGTGTTTTATAAGCGAGTGACCCATATAAGCGAGTGACCCAAAAATCCCTCAACTTACATTATCATCATTCAATTCAATATCTTTCAACAACCCGATATGCCACAGCCTTCATATGAAGCTAGGATACTTCTTGCCCTTCAGGCCCTTCAAAATGACCCGAAATTAAGTATCCGAAAGGCGGCGACTGTATATCAGGTCAATCACCGCACCTTAGGTCGCCGCCGGAATGGCATTCATTCAAAGCGTGATATAACCACAAAATCACGGAACCTATCTGATCTAGAGGAACAGACGATAGTTCAATTTATCCTTGACCTAGATTCCCGAGGTTTCCCCCCTCGGCGCGATTTTGTGGAAAAAATGGCCAATTCTCTACTTGCCGATCGCGAGGCATTACCAGTCGGCAAGCTCTGGGTTCATAACTTTATCCAACGACAACCAGAGCTAAAGGCATGTCGATTTCGGAGATATGACTATAAGAGAGCTAAATGCGAAGATCCGACTATTATTCAGGGCTGGTTTCGCCTCGTAGAGAATACGATCGCGAAATACGGTATCCAATTAGCTGATATCTGGAACTTTGATGAGACCGGCTTTATGATGGGTATGATTGAGCCCGGAATGGTCGTCACAAGCTCAGAAAGGCGAGGGATACCAAAGAAGATACAGCCTGGAAATCGTGAATGGATTACTGTGATTCAAGCGGTCAATGCAGAAGGTCAATCGATCGCACCATTCATCATTGGTTCAGGCCAATATCATCTTGCCAATTGGTACCGAGAATGCAACCTCCCCGCCGATTGGGTCATTGCATTGAGCGAAAATGGATGGACCAATAACCAGCTAGGTCTTGACTGGCTACAGCACTTTGATCGATCAACAAAGGACCGATCAGTTGGTTCTTATCGTCTCTTAATCCTCGATGGTCATGAAAGCCACCACTCTATCGAATTCGAGAGATATTGTGAGGAGAATAAGATTATTACCCTCTGTATGCCTGCTCATGCCTCTCATCTACTCCAGCCTCTTGATGTAGGGTGCTTTGGGCCGCTGAAAAAGGCCTATGGGCGAGAAATAGAGCGTCTAATGGGATGCTCTATAAACCACATCACCAAGATCGAGTTCTTTCCTGCCTTTCATGCCGCCCACCGAGCTACTATTACAGAAAGTAATATCAAAGGAGGTTTTAGAGGAGCTGGGCTTGCTCCCTTTGACCCAGAAAATGTCATCTCAAAGCTTGATGTGCAATTACGGACCCCGACACCTCCCGCAGAGGTCACGATACCTTCAACCCCTTGGACTGCAAGGACCCCAAAGACACTACTAGAGGCCCAATCGCATTCTAAATATCTACAGGGAAGGGTTAGAAACCATAAGAGCAGCTCCCCAGAGTCAATTATTGAGGCTGTTAAGCATTTTGAGAAGGCAACAAGCGTCCTTATCCATAAGATAGTCCTACTAGAGGATAGGCTTCAACAAGTTGAACAAGAGAATCGGATAGTAAAGCGACGCCGGAGGGGGAAAAGGACTAGACTACAGAAAGGAGGGCCTTTGACTATAGAAGAGGCATCACAAGCAATTGATCAGATGGATGTTGATACGCAGGTAGCAGCCGAATCGTCGAGAAGTGGTGGTCGCGGAAGGTCTAAGGGACCGAGGGTTTTACATTGTAGCAAATGCGGCAGGGCCGGGCATAATACAAGGACCTGTCAGGAGGAAATTGAGGTTAATTTAGAAGAATATAGCGATTAGTTTTAATTGATCTGATAATTTGTGGTATTTTTATTGCCGATTTAATTGAGAAGGTTGAGATTTTTGGGTCACTCGCTTATATGGGTCACTCGCTTATAAAACACGTTAATAGGTTTTAATTATAAGTATTATATCTAGGTTATACTTTATTTAAAAACTATATCTTTAAGAATACTAAGTATCTTATTAATACTCCTATTAAGATAAGGACTAACTAGAATAATAGCTGCATATTAAATAATTATAATTATATTATTTTCTAAGCAGCAACATTAGCAGGATTAGGAAGACCGTGAGAGCTATAATTTATAGAGTTTCTTACTTTAATTCTTGGTTTAGACCTCTTATCCTAATTAATACGTTTAACTAATAAGACATGATAAGGGATCTCTTATTGCATTTAAATTAATAATAAGAGTAGGTCGGAATACCTTTTTATAGTTATATCTTTAGACTGTAAATCTTTACCCTTTCCTCAACCCCGCTGGGTCACGGTCGATACTGGACAAACATCTCTCCCTCCAGTGGAGCAACAAAGACTGTGGGTGGAGGACTTCTACATACATTCTGATCAAAGTCTCCATGATATTCACTGAATCGATACATAAACTTGACATGACTAATGAGACCATAAACACACATATATCCACCATGAAGAATCTGCGCTCCTTCGGCGTCTCGGTAACTTTATGGAATGCATATTTGTAAAGGGTTTAGCATATATGCAAAGCACTCAGTGCATTGCTTGGCTTGGGTTTAATACAGTAACAATCACTTTTCGTCATGATATGTCAGGTAGCTTTAGCAGAAACACGTATGGTAGGGCTGGTGCCATTTTCGCAAACCCACAATGCCCAGAGGCGCCTCAGTCCACGGGACGGACCGACTCTAACACGAGTTCAAAGCGCAAGTTACTGAAGACGATATCTTTAAAATGGATACTGGTGCTATGGGGACAAGGTAGTTCCATTTATTCTTCTGCATTACTGATCACTGTAGATGTTCACTTGAAGCGGTGCATATTGATTCAACATGTCTTGCAATACGCAGTATATACATAGCACTTTTTCCTAAACTTGAGTATAAACCTTAAGTCAAGAAAGAGCACGAGTGTCCTGTGGCTCAGTTGGGAATGTAATTGGATAGGAACTTTTGGACTGTCGCTTGAAGAGAGTGGGTCACACGGATGTTGCTTCTGAATGCCAAGTATCCATACAGGACTAACCAGTGGTTCTTTGTCCGAACCTTCTGCAGGATCAGGATGCTTTAACTACAATTACTGCTCCTGCCATGGCAGTAGCCAGGTGGGCACTTAGAAGCGAAATAGGCTGACTTTTACCTCGGCCGGTACTGGCAAGCAAATAGCAGATGCGGAGCTGAAATTCCTCCGGCCCCATTTCACTCCATTTTCAAGGTGACAGTCCACGGAAAAGATTGATAAATATAGAAGAATGACGATATTAGTGGTGCGCTTTTCGACCGCTTATGTAACCTCAATATATATTTCATTGTCACCCTTCCTTTTACACTGGTTCCAGACCCTACCGAAACGGGATATTTATACGATCTGTTACCATAACCACTCATCATCCAATAACAGATCCATATTTTACGAGAACCGAAGTAGGTGAGCGGTTCTTCTCACAAGCGGGTGGTCATCGTACGGCATGGTATTTCTCATCAAAGGCTGAGAAGCAAATGAGTTGGGACGTGGTTGAATGTCGTTTGATGTACTCTAGAAGTATAAAGCCTCGAGCTTCCCCCTTTGCTTCGGTTTGATTCTCATCATCCCAGAAACGGCTTCGCAACAAGTCAAGCATCCTCCTTTAGTTATAACATTATCTCAAACCTTGACTCTCAGTCATTATCTGCCTCCAGCAATCAGATCGTCAAGATGGTTGCCACCAACTTCCTCCTCCTAGCTACTATGGTCGCCTATGTCAAGGCAACTCCCGTGGCAACAGCCCCAGGTCCTTCGACAACGAAGTGGACGGGTCTCTCTATGAAAGACATCATTGATTGGGAGGACATTGATAAGGAAGCCTTCAAGAACCCTGCCAACTGGAACAACACCTCTTCTCAAGACGCCGTCACCTCAGCCAGTGGTGATGATATCGTTACAATTATGTCTGTAGCTTGCGAGCAAGGCACATGCCCCGACTACTCGGCCTTGTTCGATCTGGTGTACACCTTCACCGCCATCACCTCTCCCGGTATCCCGGACCCCAACGACCCTGGCAAAATCCCCCCTTCCCTCACTATCTTTGAGGCCAAGTCTGATATCCGAGTCGAGGACTGCGGTCAATGTCAGCGTCAGAAGATCGGCAGCACTATGATCGATGTCGTCCCCGGAGGTTGCTTGGACTTTACTTCATGCGGTCGCGCGCAAACTATCTGTGTTGATCCGGGCAAGAGGCGCGCCCATCGTATCTGGAAGGACAACGGTGATAAAAGATGCTATGGAATGAAGGTCGAAAGACTCGGAGGTTGCGGTTTTATCAAGAACCGCATGGTCATTCACCCTAGCTTTGTTGTTGCAAGCTGCCTTAGCTGTCTTCCTATCTAATATAATCTAGAAGGATGATATTGCGTTTGGATGGGTTGTAAGTGGATGTTAATGGCGTTGTTAATATTACAGGAGACTTATTAAATATTATCTTATATTAAATAATAGTTAATAGGAGTTCTAAAGTGGTTTATGGCTTTAAGCCTTCTATTAGTTATCTATTAAGTCCCTTAAGTATTATTATATTTTGCTAGAAAAGATCCGGCAACTTTATTAATATCTAGAGAATAGCTATACATTCTTAATTCTTAATATTCCAGAAGCTTCCATTATGACGTCATCTAACCGCAGCGTTATTGACTAGCAACGGCACATCTTCATAGCCTTCCAACATCCTTATGATTCTCAGGTTTCTTATCATCAGTCACTTTACAGACTACGATGCCACAGTAATCGTGCCAAAGTCCTATATAATACTCTAAGGCGGAGTCATTTGTGCCAAAAATTTACATAATAATGAGTAAGGTCTTGCTATAGCATCCATTTCTTTCTGTTTTACCTCAAGGTGACTACACATGGCATATTATTTGCCCTTATTATGGAGCATCTCGCGAATCTATTTGGCTCTCTGAAGGATTTCTTGGTTGATTTGGGGAAAAGACGTAATGGCTTCGATAAGGGCCATAATATTATGGCGAGACAGTAGGATAATAGTAGGCCGACTAGGAATACTTAGCAGGCAACTAGATATCACTAGAATGGGAAGGCATAGATAGTCCTGATGCCGCTCAGCACCGATGATCGAATCAGAAAACCGCCAAGGCAATACAAGCGCTATCTTTCCTCGGTAACTCCACCTAGGCCCAACAAGATCAATCAGGCACTCCATGGCTTGTTCGCAAATGCGGTTTTTCTCCTTTGCCCTAGTTCCAAGTCTCCGATCTGTAGTAAGGTCTTTACTTGAATCGCTGTTGAACGTGACTAGGATGTATCTTCCAATAGCGCGACTAAAGTAATCCTCAAATGGATTTATATGGCTCTTAACTAATCCCCAGAGTCCTTTAAACTTCTGATAAAGATCAAGGAAGAAAACACCAGTCCAAGATGCGATATTCTCGCAGTCAAAGAGACGCCGAAATACAGATTCAGACCAACTATCATTGGGTGGAATATACTTTCTTGTTGCCATCCAACAAGTGACATTTGGTGGCAAATATTCACTGGTGGATAGAGGGTGAATCAGGATATAGGCGCCCCAAGCTTCATCATAGATCTCCAATATCGTGTGTGCAGTGATAATACGGCCGACTTGTGCTGCTGATTCCTGTTTGGCCTGTTCCAGACGCTGAAGGCAAGGCAGTACATGGCGGCCAACCTGAGTGCAGAGCCGCTCCCAATACAATTGCAGTTTTGCTATCATGTGCTGGTGATAAGCCCTGGCTATCTCTTCCGTCATCAGGCGGATGACTTTCTCAACAACCTCATCGCCACTTCGCTGACAACCACAATCAAAATCAGTTTTTGCTTGCCGAAGTAACTATCTCAGAGATAGCTCCATACTAATGGCGGATGCAGCAAGACGCTGCACATTCATCTGAGATAGAAGGCCACGCTGAAAGGGATTCCGAGGTATATAGGGTTAAATTAGAGTTTCTAAGGCGATATGTCTGTCGTACCAGTTTATATATGAGTGAAGAATCCAGAGCATTCCTAAGCCTTGAATAATCACACTCAAGCCTAGGCCTTGCCGCTCTCGCAGCTCTCTAGTACGGTGCGTTCGGCTATAGGCAGTCCATCGCGAAAGCGAAATCCAATTATCATACGAGAATTGCTCTTTGCTAGTCAACGTATAGGTAAGAAGCCGGCAGAAGAGCTGGGCTGTATAGAAAGCAAGAATCAGAGAAAGTGGTGAGATAGTGGTGGAGATGGCAGCCTCGCGAAATAAGTGATTTAAGGGAACAATAAATCTTGCAGCCTGGGTAAACATAAAGTCATTAATGTCCTTGGTAAGTATGACCTAAAAAGGTTTATGGTCGGTATGAGCAGATGCAGCAGACACTTCGAGAGACTTGGGGCCATATGAGGATTCTGTCTTGGCTTGAAGTAGCCGTCATGCCACATTATGAGAATTGCATCAAGCCGAAAAGTCATCTCTTTACAGATGCCATAGTTTGTTGAGTTCCTTGTATCCATAGTAGCTCTAAGATGCCGCTTGTTAGTATCCCACGCCTTCGATAAAGCATCACGATAGACATGGAAGGTTGGTGCCCGATGGCGACCCTGGTTGGCTGATAAAAGATCGCTAATCATACTCTGGTTTAAAGCAAGAAGCGGGATATATCCCGAGCTAAATAATTCATATCTACCAAATATGACAGAGAAGAGTTCTTTATAATAACTGTATGCCTTAGCACGAATAATTCCTGGCTTATGCTTATCCAGGTGGCCCGGATTTAATGCTCGCATATGCTTCGCCTTGACTTAGTAATCGCCAAGGTCACAGAGCAGAAACCGCTGGAAGTTTTAAGCATTCATCAGGGACGTAGGTGCACATCTGGACAGTTGCTCATGTAGATGAGGGTGACACTGACTCTTCCAAAACACAGTGCAGGGTTCTCGCACCAGTTGACTAGAAGATAGAGGACTTACCACATAATCACAAGTCCCGATATCAATCTAGCAAGAACGTATTTCCAGATAAGCAAGGTTAAAGGCCTGGAGAACAGAGGCCTGAAAGTAATATAGGCTTTTGCTAAGTATCGCTCTCCCGAACATATTCTTTAGGTCATAAGACTAGAACAGTAGCTTAAGGTCCTTAAAATATAATACTAATTTGCTACTTTTTATAGCCAGTCAGAAAGAATTCGCTTTCTTAGCTATCAAATTCTAAAACTATAAAAGATTCTCTGCCAGAATTATATACTAAAGATGAACGGCTCTACTCATATCTTCTGGTTTCTAGCGGTTATTCCTAGATCTTTCCTAAAAAGAGTAAGATTTTATATATGCAATTTTATATATTCTTAGTAACTCCTGCCAGCAAGGGTCAGATATTGCCTCAAAGGCTGCCGGAATTATGATATAATTATAGAGATCTTTTTATAGCTTGAGCAACAGAGCGTTCCGGGTTAATAACGTTATATCTTTCGTAGCGTTTGGGAAGAAGAGAGACGCGGAGAAGCGTGCACTGTGTGCGTTAAATGTTCCGAGTTTGACATATCGCATCCTTGCCAAGTCCAGTCTGTGTGGCTAGACTACCTCGTCGTTGGATATATTCAATGCGGCAGAGGGAAGAAAGGACAACCGAAAGTCGTTGGGCGATCGGGTTGCTTGAAGGCCTTTTGCCCCAAACCACATGCTATCGATGTCCCATTGCCTAGATAACGATAAAGCTGGCTGATCTGGATGGGCAAGAGCCTCTGACAACTTGTTAAACGAAAGTGGCTGGATCGGCTAGTCGGCAAGAAAGCCTTTCCACTGCTGGAAAGAGCTGCTAGGGTTATGAGATCCAGTTTCACCAAACACGGTAGACAGAGGAGGAAGGAACTATTAAAGCTATTTAACACGCTCCCGAAGAGAGTAGGTAGGCTTGGCCTTATTACCCTTAACCTGCTATATACCTATTCTAGGTTCTTAATATTATATTAACTATAATACTAGGGTTTTTTATAGACATATAATTAGAATTAGAATTATAATAAACCTTAAAAATCTAATTATAAGTATCTTCATATTAATTAAAGAACTTAGGTTTTAATATAATATTTCCTTATTAAATAATATTAATAAAGTTTTATAAGGTTTTAATATAAGGTTAAGTAGTAAATAAGGTAATATTATTACTTAGGCTATCTTAAGGTCTAATATTAAAATACTTTATATTAGCCTGCCTGTTTATAAATAAATATTATAAAAATACTAATAACCTAAAAGTACTTATAATAGTATAGTAATAATAATTTATAAGTTTTAATAACCCTAATTTAATTAAGGATAATACTAATAAGATATATAATTAATATAGCTTAATATAAAACTTTTATATATACTATCTTATAAGTACTTATATTAATTTAAGAGGAGCTATTTAATATATAAGTAAAAACCCTAGGCTTATATTAATAAGTTTAATAGCTTATTTTATAATATATTATAAGTATATTAGCTAATTAATATAAGAAAGAATAACCCTAGGATTAATTATATTATAAAATATTAAGTTATAAGATACTTAGTTATTAAGGCCTAGTATTAATATAGCACTTTTATAAGAAGTTAATATAAATATAAAAATTAAAACCTATACTTAATATATTAAAGGGCCTGTAATATTACTAATAGGCCTGGCATTATAGGATAATATATCCTTAAGTAATACTAGATTATATATAGGGTCTACTATATAGACCCCGCAATAGCCTGAATATTCCTTGCAAACCAGCGTTTATTGCATTTAGCGCTTTAGGAATTAGCAATTTCTCGCCCATTCACGCATGCTTTTAATCTTATAAGATGTTTTTTAAATTTTAAAAAACTTAATATAGCTTATTTTAAGGCTTATATATAGGCTATTAAAATTATAGCTATTTTAGGCTTAACTTGGATTTTTAAAGAGTTTTTTAAAACATGGATTTTAAATAGAAATAGAATTAATATACTTGCTTATTTAATATATTTATATATTATTTATATTACTCTATACTTATAAAATATTTAATAATTAATAATATATCTTTAATATCTTTAGTTAAAGTCTTTTTAAAAAGCTTAATTAATAATATATATAATTAGTAATATATAAAGATAATAACTAGCTCTTATTATAAATATATAAATTAAGTTAATTATATTAAAAAGGTAATAAAAATTTATTTTCTTAATAAGCTTTATTAAATACCTCTTAGTAATTACTAAAATAGCTTATTTATATAATAATAATATTTAAAGTATAATTAGGTTTTAGGTCTTACTTTTTAAAATACTTAAAGCTTGCTTTAATAATAAATACTTCCTTTTATTATTAAGCTTTAAGAAAAAGAATTCTTTAGTATTATAATAAATTATATATATTTTCTAAGCTAGAAATTCCTAAATTGAATATATAATAATAAGATACTTTAAAAGGCTAAGGCTAAGATTTATAAGAATATAATAAATAATATAAAATATATAATAATTAAATACTTAGGCCTTATTATAACTAATAATAAAAATTATTCTTTTATTATAAAAAAATATATTATATATAAATAGCTTTAAGTTTAAATATTAAATACTAATTACTTTAATACCTTAGTTAGGCAGACTAGCTTTAAAGTAAATTATTATAAAAGCAGATTTATTAAGCTTAATACTAACACTTAGATACTTATAATAAGTCTTTATATTTTAATATTTAAATTTTATAAAAGGTATGTTATAAAATATTAACTTCTAGAGCTTATAAAGAAGTATTTATTATATATCTATTAAGTTATTTTTAATTTTATTAATAAATAACTAGCCTGCTTTTTAATATATTAAATTATCTTAAATAATAGAAATATAAATATTTAGTTACTATTTTAATAGTATTTTATTTACCTGCTTTTATGTTATTACTATAGCTTTATAATAAGCCTTATAAAACTCTAATTATATGACTTTTCTATTATTATTAATTATTAATAATTAGCTATTTAAAGCCTAAGTTAAGTTACTTAGCACTCCTTCTTACTTTATATTAAATTTTATAAATACTTTTAATTTAATTAACTTTTTAAATAGTATATAATAACCTTATAAGAGATATTTATAATAAATAAAAGAAATATAATTAGGTTATAATAGGTAAGCTATTTAACTAGGCAAGATAGAGTTAAAAGTATTATAAGTATAAATAAGGATAATATACTTAAGGAATAAAAGCTACCTAATTTATATAAGTATAGCTAACTTAGGTAATAAGCTATAGGCTAGATAAAAAGCAAGAAATAGTCCCTAAATCCTTAAAATGGCTATATAGTAAATAATAGTAAATACAGATATATCCCTAATAGGTTTTTAATATATTTAAAATATTATTAATAATTAGAAAATAGCCTTAAATAAGTATAACTAAAGACTAAATAAAAGAAAGAATAGCAAATCTATAAATAATTTATTTTTATTATTACTTATATTATAATATTTATTATTTTTATTAAAATAATTCTTAATTTTAACTTTATTATACTTATTAATATATTTCTTATTTATTATAACTTATATAACTATATTATATAGCCCCTATAATTTCCACCTATTATAGAAGGATTACTTCTCCTAGTAATAATCCTCTTTTATTAAATTACTTAAATTATAATGCTTTAAGACTAAATTACTATAGATTACTAATAATCCTTAGAAATCTAACCCTTAAATTACTATTAATCCTTATTAAGTTATTAGGCTACCTTTAGTATATAAAATATATTTATTAGTACTTTTATAAAACTTAGCTTACTAGCTATTAATAAAGTATCTTTATATTAATAAGCCTAATATATATTACTT